TTATGCAAACAAATTAAATGAATATATACCTAAAATATTATTAGAAATGACATATTAAGATGTTTCCTTTTTTATTTTCTTTTTTTTTTTTTTCCCATTATTCTCGATATTGTTCCTATATCATCTATATATTACCCCCATATTATTTTCATATTACCCAGATATCTTGTATTATTTCCATTAGTTTATAAAAATATAATTCAATTATAAAATATATATCTATTTTAATAGATATATATATTTAATTCGAATTATGATTTTATAAATATATATTATTAGAAAGAATTTATTATTTCCAATAACGTCCTAATGCCAAGCAGCAAGACCAAACAGCAAGACTAAGTAGCAAGGCAGGCAGAGGCAAGAAGAGGCAAACAAACGTAAGCAAAGGCGAGAAGAGGCAAATAGACGCAGGCAAAGGCAGTCAGAGGCAAGCAAAGGCAGGCAGAGGCAAGCAGAGGCAGGCAGACATAGGCAGATAGTAGGCGAAAGGAAATAAAGATAAATAGAGATAAATAGAAATGTATAGGCAAGAATAAGAAAAGATAAGAAATATAAATAAATAGAATAGGCAAATAATAATAGGTAAACAGAATCAAATAAATAGAAACACATATACAAACAAAAAGAGTAAGTGCAAACAAATAAGAAAAACAAACAAAGGCAAGCTCAAATGAAGACAAACTCACAAGTAAAAATAAATAAGAAAACACAAATAACCAAATAACAATATATAATCAAAAATATATAATAACATATAATCAATAACAAATATATAACAACAAACAAACAATAATAATCAACTAAACAAAAAGAAACAATAACACACCAATTTACAAAAATACATATATTAGATTAGTATTGTTTAAATAAAATATACATTTAATTATATATTAGTGGGGGTCCGTTATTTTCTAGTAACGTGCGAGATGAAGCCCATGGCAGGAAAAATGGTTTCTTATTCCTTCGTAAGCCTTTGAGCCAAAACAGGCCCACACAACGCATCCGAAAGCCGAGCCGAGGCAACGACCAAGAGATATTCGGGCTTCATATCCCGATAACGTATGTTAACCTCTATCGCTAAATTGTTTATTGCTTAGACTTAAGACGATCTAACCTACATAATCTAAGATATAATATTTCGAACCTTGCTCTCGGGTATTCCACGCACCTGAGCACAACACCCGCCAGCCAGATTATCCTATCAATTGGATTTCATAAATTCATAGAGGCCTATATATTAATTTACCCCACTTATTAGTTTGGATTAGTAATTTAGAAATTATATTTTAAACGTTTAAAAGTGCTTTCCCAATTAATTTTAATTCCAAATCAATAATTAATATAATATCCCCACGACTTAGATTTTAACCCCCTAATAACCCGAATTATCCGATTTTTTTGCAGAATACATGAATTTTCGCTAAATCGCGTCTTTGCGAACGCTCTAATCTCGACTTATGGATTGTTTTAATAAATTAAAATATATTATAATTCTTTTTTATAATTAATTTTTATTTTTAAATACCCATCGCCATTTATGAGCAAAACATTTTTTGTATTTCATATACCAACAAATAATTTTATATCATATATATAAAAATTCGAAAAAAATACCATTCTCCAAAAAAATCAATAAAACACAATATATTAAGCAATTATAAATTTTCCCAAAATATTATTTAAACCATTTATAAAATTTATTTCCTAAAATATATATATAACTAATAAATTTTGTAAATTATAACAAAAATAACCAAATAAATTTAAATAAATAATCCATAAAAACATAAATCAATTCTATCTTCCAACAACAATCCAATTCAATTTTCCAAATTATCCCGAATTTTTCAAACATATAAAATAAATCAATATATATATATATATTATTATATATATATATATATATATATTATTATCATTATTAATAATATTATTTAAATATTTTTTTTTTGATTTTTAATAAATTAGGATTAATTTACTATTTTATTCAAGATTATATAATATCTCAATATAACTTCAATATTCAATATTCATATTTTACGATATACCCATTATAACAAAAAAATCCAGGATCATAAGATCAGTGCCAGCTGCCTGCAAAGCACTTCGTATAACCAGTGCTGGCGATTGCCCAAACTGCAAGAATGGTGATAAAACGATGGCTCAGGACCTTGAACATTTCAAGCTACCACACCACACACTTGCACACGGGAGGCATGGGGAATAAGTATTGGGTTCCTCAATGGCAGAGTTTTGTACCCCAGGCAACTTGGCGCCTCAGGGCCCATCATAGATGCACCTCTGGGCAGAAGCCACCTGCAGCGCAGGGCAAACAATGCCCACACTTCGTCTTTGCAGTGGCTCTTGGCAAATGTACTTCGTATTCCATGCCATGGTCCACCAAATGTTCTCTGTTTTGGATGCAGCAAGCTGAGACAAGGCGAGCGTAATCTACAGTCAGGGCATTCGACGCATGCGCAAGTCAGCTGTTCGTTGATCATTCTGAGGCAGACACTTTGGACCTGCTCTTCTTCGACCAGCAGAGTCCACACGTCATGCAGTGCCAGCAGCAACACGGGGAGCACTCACCACAAATGATTGAGCAGCAGTTACGCATGACATCTCCACCAGAAATCGGCTTCTCTCCTGCATTCATCTTTGGCGGTGAACTTGTGCATCTGGATGCTGTTTCTTTATTGAGGGTTGACAAGTCGAGGACGTACCTCAGCGCTTCATCGTTGCTGGTCTCAAGGATCGTGAAGATGTTGTTGAGTTCTTCCACTGGCATAATTTTGAGTTGTGGGACGATCTTTGGCTCTGCCTTGTCGCACAACGCCATCAACTCCTCCAAGTTCGTGATGCCACCTGTGATGGAGAAGGTCACCGTAGATCTTGGGCCCAGGACGTTTGCAGCCAGGAGCGCTCCAACCATTTGGGGGCAAAGCCCTAGGAGCACCAGTCTGCTGTTTGAATCCCGCAGCATCTTCTTGTAGGGACTAATGCTGTGGTCACAAGGAATGGTGTCAAGGATGATGTCCAACGATTGTGTCGCTGCTGCAAGATCAGCACTCTCAGCAGTGGCAATGTATGACGTTGCTCCGGCCCGTTTTGCAATCTCTTCTTTTGCCCTGGACCGAGAAATCGCTGTGACATGGCACCCCATCTCTTTCGCCACCTTGATGCCCATGATACCCAGCCCCCCGAGGCCCACCACACCAACGGACACGCCAGGGCCGGCACCGTGATCTTTCAAGGGAGTGTACATCGTGATCCCCGCACACATCACAGGTCCAGCTGCCTCCAAGGGGAAGCTGTTGGGGATCTTGACGCCGAAGCGCTCGAAGATCACACACTTCGTGCTGTAGCCACCGATCAAGGGGCCTTTCTCCTTCTTGCCAGGCTTGCCCGGCACTTCCCGGGTCGCAGGGTAGGGAGCCGCTCGTCCCGACCAATCTTCACCAGCATAGGTAGCAACCGTTTTCTTGCACTTTTGCTCATCGCCGTTCTTGCAATGCTTGCAACTAAGGCAAGAATCGATCATGGTCCCCACGCCAATCTGATCGCCAACCTGAAACTTCGTGACCTTGGGGCCGATTTGCTCCACAACTCCTGCCAGCTCATGCCCCGGAACGGCCGGGTACTTGGGCTTCATGAACATACTTGTCCGTCCGTTGGCATAGACGACGTCAGTGTGGCAAACCCCGCAGTACTTCATGTCGATAAGCACATCATAGTCCCCAAGTGGTCGTCGATACATCTCCATGGGCTTGAAGTCGCATTTTGCATCCTCAGTGCCCATAGCCATCAACTGTACTGGGGCCTGGCTGATTTCCGCCATCAGGACAGTTCTTAGCCTAAAGACAACTCCAGACCCGGGCCGACAGTGCTGCCACTCAGCCCATGACACCAAGCTAGCAAGCCCCAGCACAGGGTCGCATCTCTATCGGCCTAAGGATCGACAAATCATCGGGCTGAGCACTCTGCCTCATTCCAAACCGAGAGATCCACAATTCGCAGAAGGATTCTCATTGGGTCGGGAAGTCTTGTCTGCCCAGAAGCTTTTTGCAACTTGTCTTAAGGTGCAAACCGTTGATCGGCATCCACGCCTCTTGGGCTGGCCAACATGACCACCATGGAGTCCAGGCAAACATCGCCAGCGCCAACGTCCTGGCTGTGTCTGACCCCATTTGCGTCACCACACGTGGTGAGGCTGGGTACTGAACGAGAAGATCGCAATCAATATTTCCCGGCTATCATTTCTGAACAGGCAAGGGCGGTCTTGTTTTCTTTGAAGGAATGGAGGCAAGCATCAATAATACTCTACAATCAGTTCCAGCAACCCAATATCACCAGCCCAAATCCAGGACCGTTTAATCAAACGCAGCTCTCAGAAAAGCACACGCACACGTGCTGAATTTGGGATTGATGTTACGATTTGTCTAAGGTCATCCACAGTTGGCGACAAACCATCACCAAACAGAAAGGAGGAGGCGCTGTATCAATCCAAGGCAATCAATACGTGAGCCCCGGAAGGCTTCGGCTGGATGCGCTCACTGGCCTAAAAGCTTTCCATGTCAATGTGGTCTTGTCTCAAAATAGGGAGCCCACCGACATGTGCGGTTTCCTTTTGCAATAGCTCGAGCAGGGTGTACATGCTGTGTAAAGATGCGGGGGGCGGAAGCCATGCATTGCGCACCAAAGCAATCTTGCGTTGCCTCAGCATCGCCTTCCCACCAGAATGTGATCTCCCAATATAACCCTCAGGTAGTCAGAGAGAAGCAGGCTCCGAAAGTCAACCACAATTACAGGAGGACATGAGGCTGAAGTGCAAAAAGCTGGCTTGTAGGGCATTGAACAACTGATCACCAACGATTTGCATCGTTTTTCCCACTCTCCGATTTTTTTCGCGGCTGTGCTCGAAACAGCACCGTCTCAAAGCTACAGCTGCTCATTAGGCAACGCGTGCGTTACATCCAAGCTAAGCAGCCAAGCGCTTGCCTGGCAAGGATATGAGGAAGGAAGGCGGCCAAAGCATGCTTTTTCAGATGGTTTTAACCAGCGCAAGTTAAGGACACCTTGTAAATTTGAATCATGACTAACATCTAAGCCACAACTTTGACACTTTAATATGAAGTGTTGACCTCAGTCTCCTGCAACAGGTTGGTCAAAAGCCCGCTCACGCCGAAGCGGAAACTTTCCGGCCTCAGGAACTCCTTTGCTTTGGGTCCCAAAACGGTCTCCACCAGCTGCAAGTAGCCAAGGGCGTCCTCATGAGTTCGCACACCCCCGGAGATCTTGAGACCGCTTTGATGGTTTCGAGCTTTGATGGCTTCGAGCATCGTCTGGGCTGCAGCCAGCGTCGCTCCAGTGGGCGTCTTGCCGGTGGAGGTCTTGATGAAGTCAGCGCCATTGTCGAGTGCGTCCAGCGAGGCCTTTTTGATCAAGTGCTCACACTTCAACTCCCCTGTCTCCAGGATCACCTTCAGCAAGCAATTGCCTTTCTTGTTTTGCTCAATGGCCGCCTTGACTTGGCGGACCATTTCGCACGACTTCGGGGACTCTGCATTGGACAAATAATCTTTGAAGCAAATCACCAAGTCAATCTCATCCGCGCCAACTTGCAAGGCTGCTCGAGTCTCTGCAACCGCTTCGCTCGTCTGCGCGTCGCCACTGGGGAAGTTAACCACCGTTGCAACGCGCATACCTTTTGCATCTTTCTCTAGCTTTGCGATTTTCCGCTTTGCAGCTTGCACAAACTCTGGATAAACACATACAGCAGCAACTTCTGTGCCCAGGGCATTCTTTGCCGAGCCATTCTCCACAAGCTGTGCAACCTTCTCTTCGGTGTCTTTCTCTTTGTCCAAAGTCGTCAAATCTATCAGTGAAATCATCTTCTGCTTCATTCGCAGCTGCTCGGATGCATCAGCAGTCTTCTGTTTGACTCGCCTCTCGGTTGAATCGGTCATGTAAGGCCGACGTCAAGTAATGTGCCTTCTTTGGGCAAAAATTGAGCCGATGCACTTCACGGATTTGGCGAGACTCCCGAAGTGCTTAAAGTGCAGCTTTGTTGGTCACTCATGAGTCTCACTTTGGAGCTGGGCTTTTCCTTTGAGCAGTTGCCCAGAAAACAACTCGGGAAACTCTGAGTGAAACATGGCGGATGGTTTAGAGTTGGAATATTATAATCCTGGCAAGCTCCTGATTGCATTGCATGCCATCATTCTCGCAGAACACCCCAAGCTGTGAAACTTGAGAACACAACACTCACTGCTCAAAAGGAATCGCCAGTCACAAATGCCGATGCCCCAGGCCTCGATACTCACCGCATGGCTTCGTGATCTTGTGATGAAAGGCGTGCCCTGCGACGTTCCGAGTGAGATGAACCATGTCTGGAACCTTTGGTGCCCTTCCGATCGGGTTGTTTTGGATTTCTGGCACCAGGGCTCGTCTTTCTGAGACAGACCTCGTTTAAATTCTTCGGGACGCCTAGCTCTTGCACTTGTCTTCGGATTCAAAGGCAGCTGCCGGGATTTTGTATCAAATGTCTTGGTTGCTGTTGACCCCCCTGCAAAAAGTTTAACTTTTTTGGGGTTTAGTGGAAAACACCCATAATCTCAAAAAGTTAAAGTCTAAAGATCCAACCCCGCAGTCAAGATGTGAACGTGGTGTTGATAAGCGCGATTGCCGAAATCGGACCTTGAAGCTGCACCCATCGCATCGGCGCAGTACCGCCTACTGCTGGCCTTCAGGCATGCATCGGGAGCATGGCATTGTCTCAAACCGAACTTGGCGCTTTGAAACGTTGCGCTTTTGGTACCATTGTTGTGGCTCCTTCAATGTGCAACCGAACTTGTTGTGGTACCATTCGTTTCAAGCAGCCACAATGGTACCCTGCAAGGACTAAGACATAGCCACATGAAAAGAAAAAGCAACTCCGAGTCTTGGCTCAGTCTGAGCACAACGCGCCAATGACGCAGATGACGACTTGGAAGCTGTTCTCGATTTGCCTCATTCTGCCTGCAGTTGGACATTGCACTCCAAAACATTCATAGTCCGCTGGTGGCTGAACGGGGCAATCAGGCCAGCAGGCTCATTTCGGCACTTTCCGTCTCTTGTTCGTCTGCTATGATCATGATAAGTAGGAGTGAAGCCTCATTTCCTGAGTGGATTGGCAAAAAAAGAAACCTATCACTCACCACTAACACGGTCTTCCAAAAATTAACAGCCCTCTTGCAAAATGCATGCTTCATTGCTTGCAAAACATCTCAGCCACCTGCGAGTCCCGGAAAACGCGGGTAACACGCATGTAGTCACCGCCGAAACATCCGATCAGTGCAATCCAGTCTTTCCTGAACTCAATGGAAGTAACTGCTGCTCAATGCTGTTGTTGCCCCTCTTCAACCTAGGCTCTAGCTACAAGTACAAGGCTTGGACTAGGATTTGGGTGGTGCCTTTTCGGTTTCCGCTATACATCAACCAACAAAAAGGTCCCCCCACATTCTAGGACACCCGCGGCTGCAATCTTCCCGCGCCTTGCGTTTCAGGCGGAGCCTGCCTGCTCTCTTCGCTTTCGCCTGCGCCTTTGCCTCAGGCCACCCCTCGTGCCTGAGACATGAATAGCAGTCCAGCTACTTAGCTATGTTTCTTTTTGAGGGTCCCATTTGGGTGGTTTTAAGCTCCAAGGGAAAACAAAAGAACCAACACCATTTTAAGGGGTCCCCTAGTTTTTGACAGACCATGCAGTATGTTATGTTTTTTGCAAACGTGGAAAAGAAGCAGCGTTTCCTTGGAGAAGCTCCAACCGTTGAACGTTAGCTCTTTGAGAGTACACCGGTCGAAGAAACGCCGAGTTACAAAACTCCGGCTGTGGCAAGTCGAGGTTGGCATGGGGCCTGGGGGCTTAGGATGCTGTGATCCCGATTTCGGGAAGCTCCCCAGCTTGCTGATGGGTCGGGCCAGTGATCTGCTAAAGTTTCTGTATGAGGGCCGCCTCTCGCAAAAGCTCCGCGCTGCCCAATAAGGGATCCTCCCAAAAAACGGAGCTTCTACAAATGAGGGTTCTGGGTTCCATTCGAGTAAATCCTTGTTTTGCAGTGGACCACCAATGCCTTCTCAATCCGATCTGGCGCTGTCAATGAGCATTTGCACCCCCAAGCTGCACCAACCACCTCATGAACTCCTGAGCGCCTCGCACTGGGAGAACGTCTGGCTGCCACTACTGCATGAATGTCTTTGGCTTGGCGCGGAGGCTTCGAATAGAGGCCTGGCGAACCAATGCGGCTCAAAACCGTTTTTCACCTGCGCCAACGCTTCATGGTAACTCGCCATTTCTCCCAGCCTGGTGTCCTCCACAGCACCGGCTCATCGCCCTCTCTCATCACCTGCGGCGTACTCTGTTCGTCACAGCTGGTCTGCTCATATTTGGTGTGTAGCAGCTTCAAGATGGAAGACAAGTGCTTGGACAGGTATTATTGCCGTGGGAATGTATGATCCCTGCACGGTTTTCAAGTCGTGGGTGTGTCGTTTGAGGCGGTATTCCTATCACTTTCGGAAAACATCTCTAATTTGCCCGTGTGCTGTGCCCCACATGAATCATGAATTGCAGGCGGCCGGGAATGGGCAAACGATGGCAAACGGGCATGAAGTTTCAGCAACTACTCCAATGTGCCAGCAGATGGGAGGGCGGACCATGTTCCCATACTTCCACCCAACGCACAACAACTGGCAAAGTGGCCAGGTGTCAAAGCTAGGGATCCTTGGGTGGGCGCGCGTGAAAGGGAGCCGTACAACCTGTTTCGTCGAATGTTCAAGTGCACATGATCCATCCCTGCGAGCCTTGTCCTGGAAGGCACCAAGCTCCATCTCACCTTGTTACAGGCGGCCTTGTTATCATTTCCAGTTGCTTAACCCTCATCCCTGTAGGGAGCAAAGAGCAAAGGACACCCTGCGCTCTCAGGTCCAGGGGACTTGGAAGGCCTACAAGTGTCCATCAGCCTATGTCTTCCCACAAGCATTTTGGAGTGGCGGAAGCTGGGCGCAAGACTTGTGAAGCTACCAACGCAACAGCTCCCTTTTTCTCTCCTTCCCTGCGCCAAAGGCTGACAGGAAGGCTGGGAGAACCAGCTCACTTGTAGGGAATCTCAAAGGTACCCGATTCCCTGCTAGTTGAAGAGAGACTACATGGGGTTGTCTCTCAAAGGGGGTCGTCTCCCCACAAAGACCCAATCTGTTTTTGGTTTCCCAATGGACAAAACGGGCCGAAGGGGTTCCTCCACAAAAAAAGCCATCCATGGACAACTCACAGTCTGCCAGGAGACGTGTCTGCAACGCCTTGGCAGCCGTGAGAGCGGCAGCAAGCCTCAGACCAGGCCAGCTGTCACTTGCAGTGCGTGAGTGAGTGAGTGATCGAGCGAGCGGACGAGCCAGCGAGTGAGTAAGTCTGTGTCTGTGTGGCTGGGTGTGCGTGCGTGCGTGCATGTACGACGTGTGTGTGTGTGTGTGTGTGAGTGTGTCTGTGTGTCCGTGTGTGTGTGTGTGTGTCTGTGTGTCTGTGTGTCTGTGTGTCTGTGCGTCTGTGCGTCTGTGTGTCTGTGTGTCTGTGTCTCTGTGTGTCTGTGTGTCTGTGTGTGTGCGTGCGTGCGTGCGTGCGTGCGTGCGTGGGTGCGTGGGTGCGTGGGTGTGCATGTGCGTGTGCGTGCGCGCGTGCGCGCGTGCGCGTGTGCGTGTGCGCGTGCGTGTGCGCGTGCGGGTGCGGGTGCGTGCGTGCGTGCGCGTGCGCGTGCGCGTGCGCGTGCGCGTGCGCGTGCGCGAGCGCGTGCGCGCGTGCGCGTGCGCGTGCGCGTGCGCGTGCGCGTGCGCGTGCGCGTGCGATGTGTGTGCGTGTGGTGTGTGTGTGTGTGTGTGTGTGTGTGTCTCTGTGTCTGTCTGTGTCTGTGTCTGTGTCTGTGTCTGTGTCTGTGTCTGTGTCTGTGTCTGTGTCTGTGTCTGTGTCTGTGTCTGTGTCTGTGTCTGTGTCTGTGTCTGTGTGTGTCTGTGTCTGTGTCTGTGTCTGTGTCTGTGTCTGTGTCTGTGTCTGTGTCTGTGTCTGTGTCTGTGTCTGTGTCTGTGTCTGTGTCTGTGTCTGTGTCTGTGTCTGTGTCTGTGTCTGTGTCGTGTGCGCGTACATGCATGCATGCGTGCTCGTGTGTGCGTGCCCTTCTGTGTGTGTGTGCGCAATCTGACGAACAAAACAAAGAGGTGTCCATGAGCCCTCAAACTGTTGGTTGGCTTTCTGTTGGTTCACCTCCTTTGGTTCACCATTTGGTTTCTTCTTGGTTCTCCAAAAAACAGGTCCCCCAATTTAGAACGCTCTCGAGCTACAAACCGGGACGGCTGTCGTTGCCAGGGTGCGGTGGCCATGCCTTGGATAGGTCCTGACCGACGCGGTCCGATCTTTTCCTAAAAACAAACAGTGCAGCACAAATATCAGAGGACCCTAACGCGTTCCAGCGAGCTTGCACCAAAGGACAATCATGAGTGTAGAATCGGTTAGAACCTATAATATTGGGCTACCCACACATAAACGACACCTGGGGCTGCCTTCTGCGGCAGCGTGGGACAGAGCTGGAGGAACCTGTAAGACCAGAAATATCAACTTTTCTTGGTCCAAGTTTAGAGATGACTCAAATCCTTGTCCGACAGATCTGCCGGCTTCTGATGCCGTGCATGGGACTCTCAGGGCAAGGGGGGAATGCCTGGAGACAGGAGTCAGGAAAATGGGCTGCAGGGCTGGTCTGGGCCACAAAGCAGCGACCCACAAGAGAAAGGATTGGCCAGTGGCTTGGAGAGTTCACCTCAAGGCAAAGTGAAATGTCCAGCTGTTTTAGCGGGTCCGGTGCCATCCCTTGTTCCCTAAATGGAATATTTGTTGTTTGACCCAGGCTGTTGTGGACAAACCTGGGGTTGCCGAACAACTTGCTTGTGTGAAGTATACTTGGGTGCGACTATTGGTTTGGACATCACCTTTGTACCACTGTCGCTATGCTTGCAAGATCCTGCAAGCAGCTAAGCAATGTGGTTGCCGGATGCGATTCATACCGGCTCGTGTTTTTACTCGCCCTGGCCATCCAAAAGCTCAGGTTTGGAAGTCCACCAAAGAGGCGGAACGCAGCCTGCTGCCTCGATCCGGCGCGTCGCTTCGCCCGGCCTGGAGCGTCGCCTCGGTTTCCACGCCCATCTCCTCCTCGGAGAGTGGCGTCAGAAGTGCCTCGCGCACTGCGCATGTAGAAAAAAAGCAACCGCTGGGAGGGCCAACCACATCTGCTTCTACGGTTTGGTTTCTCGCGAAGCCTTCTGCTACCCCTCCCCGACTCTTGCTATTTCGCTTTTGCTCCCTGCCGTGGATGGGGCTCTTCGGAACTGGAAAGCCTTTGAGGCCACTAAGTGCATGATGTTTTGCTGCACTTGCTTGAAGCAGAGCTCAACATTTGATTTTCCCTGGAAGTGTTGCCTCAATAAGGTCTCCTATTCCCCTAAAGAGCACGTCTGTTCCCACGGGTTTTCTGCTTGCACTTCGGCACTCCAACCAATCATTGCACGAATTCTGGATGCCCTCGAATTGTAAGTTACTTTTCGCAACAAGCTTTATGACTCTTAGCAGTGCCACAATAGAACCCTGCACACTGCCCCGCAACACCACACACTCCTTCTGTGCCAGGCGACCAAAAGTTCAATATAAAATCATGGCAAAAGATGGATCAACACTCGGAAACCAACAGGTCAAACCAGTGGCTAACTGCACACTGGCTTTGTGGCACTCCTGTTCGCCTGGCACGCAAAGTTTTGGTAAAGTTGGACCGGCCCATGAGAAAAAGGGGTGCAACCAAAGAGATTGACCTGTATCACACCAAGCATTCTCAAGCTCCCTGTTGTAGGGTTTCTTATATGTTCACTTGATCAACGCCAGCCCAAAAGGTGCTGTTTGAACCACCCAAGAAGGGACACAAAGGACCCCTGCCTCAATCATTGGCTCTATTTGATCAACCATCCTGCTATCCACTCGCAGTGTCACACCCTTTTCAATCACACTGCCACTGACTGCAGTTCAGGATGGTGGGGGAGTGAGCCCGTGAATTGGGGACGACTAGGATCGCCTCTGCCGTCCACACGGCATGTTGCAGAAGTGCTCCTGGCGCATGGGCTGATGACGACATTGGGCACGAGAACCATAGTCACTGCAACCCTACCAAGGGTTTGTGACTCGTTTGATTGCTGTCCAATGCTCTTGCTAGTGAGTGTAAGACATGCGCATGCGTGCACGACAAGTGCCAAGGGGGCTGGCGGTGCGGCTGAATTCAAAGTTTTGGTTCAAGCATTGGACAACAGCGAAACAGCCGGGCTTCGGCTTTTGCTCGCAGCTGCGAATACCAACATGCAATCACCTTTGTTAGCTTTCCGGGTTCATGGTTTGTTGCTAGTTGGCTGGCCCGAAGCCATCCATTGCTTGCAGGCAAACACGATAGGAGAACGCTCTTCATTTCACGACTTGAAATTTATAATGCCGTGCTTTCAGTGGACTCCTTCCTCTCTCTATCTCTCTATCTCTCTATCTCTCTATCTCTCTCTCTCTCTCTCTCTCTCTCTCTCCTCTCTCTCTCTTTATCCCCCCTCTGCACTCCATGTCGGCTTGCTGTCGAGGAATGAAGCCGAACATTTGTTGGGAGGCGCCTGTCTTTCATAACTCAACAGCATACAGCATTTCATCTTTACCGCAGCAACTCAAGTACTGCACGTGGAAGAGAATCGCTATAAAGGAACCAACCTCGGCTATCGCGTTCCAACGCACCGTTTGCAGCTAGTTACTCTGTGCAGCAACATGCTTGCAAGTTGATGTAAGTTCCACTCAAAAGATCGTCTGTCAGATTCTGTATTTAATTTGGAGTGGGCACCAACTTTGGTTGACTCCAAGGGCACTCTTTCCGCCCCCCACTTCTTACTTTGGGGGTCTGACCCCAGCTCCGAGGGAATCGGTTTAGCCAAACGAAGCCGAGTGCCTCCCATTGATCATGCAAGTGTAGCGTTGTTTCAGGGGGGGAAATTGGTCTTACACATGTCAACAAACACTGCACATGGCCAATCTTTTCAGGGCCACTAGAAATGAATGCAAGCTAAGGCCAATTCGCAGTGGGTGCTTATCTTTGCCACTGCAAGACATGGAATCCACTAGTTGTGGATCTGCGAGCTTCCATAGTCCCGGGTGTTGAACCACCACACATAGCAATTGCACCCAGCGACTTTGGTGCGAATTCAGCGGCTTCGCCCCAGCCTTCGCTCTGATCTGCCAGGTCCTCGGTGTCGCCTGCAAGTGGGAACGACACCGGAGGTTATATACAAGCAAAGTGGAAGATTCATTATACGACCCGATCGCCCAGCCCTGAACCTACTATGCAATTTGAAGCTCTTCCACGTTTGATGAGCTCCTTGTGCTTTGGAAGGTGATGAGCTCACCTTCCCGCCTACGAAGCCCATTTGCATGGAATCTGAGAACATGCCCTGGAAGACAATCTTCCCTCATGGCCTCCGGCCTGGTTCAGCGCCAGGGTTTCTTCGCAGAAAAGGACCAACTCATTTTCCACCCCGGGCCACTTTGAAACACTGACGACGTGTTTCCCCTATTTTCTTTCCGGCTTCGCATACTTCCCTCGCTTTTTGCTTGGGGGGGGGTTCCGCGCCTTGCGCGAGCACCCTGGAGAGCGCCTTCACCGCTGGGCCGCTGCCTTTGCAGTTCGCTTGGATGTGTGCAGCCCTACATGTTCGATGACGGATCAATCCCTGCTGTCTCGCGTCCCCTGCTGCCTCGTATCTCTTTGAGAGCATGGCAAACAGTTGCGGGATTGGTTGTGCATTTTAGCATGGGCCAGCTGCAACAACAAGTTGGAACAGGGCAAACACCGCTGGAAGCAACCGACCGGCTGCTACTTCCGTTTCGACGCGCGCCTCTGCATGAAGCTATGCACGCTTCCCGGCGCACCGCTCGGCTCCACTTGAAGCCGGTGTTGGAGTTGCAAGACTGGCGGTCAGCTGATTTGGCAATAGCTTTGTCGGCATACATGCGCACACTTCGTTTTTGCTGCCAAGCTTCTTGGCCAGTCAGGCATGTGCTTCTAACCAACAAGTTGCAGGCGCGTATGCGATTCCTATGAATGTTCTTCCCTAAGAAGGGGGGGCCAAAAATGTTTTGGTTCCTTTCGGCTTCCCTGAACACGCGCCCTACACAGGCGCTATTCTCCAATTTTGCTGACACAGCGTGCTCTATGGCCAAGCGTCGCCTTAAGGCTTGCTATTCCCGACTAGAACCGCAGTTTTTCGTGGTGCCTGGGCTCCTGGATTTTTCCTGCCTGGGATCCTCTTCGTTTTGGTGGCACACTGATTCGGCCACAAATGGGTTGGGTTCCTCTCGGACCCTCTCGGCTAAACGGACACTTCCCTTTGGAGTGCCTTCGCAAAAGGCCAATCCCTCCGAGCTCTGACTCAAAACCTGCGATTCAAGGGGCGCTACCCAAACTGATGGTAAAGAACCAGAAGGGTTAACTGTTGCTTCAAGGCGCCTGTCCCAAATTCTGACCTTTGCGCGTTTCGGCTTGGATTGCTGGGCTTGTCTCTCAGGAAAATTAATTGTCAACAAACAACAGAAACGGCGGTTCTTTTTGTTTGGGTATTTTTTTCCGGGGGGCAGGGGAATGGTTATTGAAAATAATGAGGGACCCCTTAGACCAATTGGAAGAGGCAGCTTAGCGGGCTCACCCAGAAACTCACTAAACCGGTCACCCTAAAAAGGAGGTTTGCCGTTTTTGGCACCCTTTCGTATTTCGGGGGCATTCGTCTTTTGGATTCCACCCTGGCAAAAGTTCTTGGGCCCCGTCCTGCAAGCTGCTGGGCGCGGACCCCACAGCATAGGCCTATTCAGTACTCAAACGCCCTCATGGCTTTAACAAACTGGACAACCAAAGCAGCCATGCAACCAAGCCAGGCATACCTAACCAAACTGAACCCGACATCAACAAACCGAAGCCGACCGTTGCCAAGCGAAACGGCCAAAACAAAGAGCCACCCCTTTGCTACCCACCACCGCCAACTAGTAAACACAAAGAGCCCGCGCCATCCTTCAATGGAATCCCAAATCGTGGACAAACCTTCCAATTGCAACATGTAAAGTACCGAAAAGCCACACGCAGCAACCATATCGGAGATGAAATGTATTCATCGTTTCAGAGCACGAGTCAAACAACTAATGGTACTGGACACCAAAGCGTCAAAAGATCCGTTTTGGATGATGGTCCTACTGCCCTCTAGACCATAAGCGTCCCAACACAGAACACATTCCTTTTGGGAGATGTGGGATTGTTTCAACCTTGGAACGCGCAAGGCACATTGAATAGCCTTATCATGGTGCCGTTGCCCACAAAACAACAGAAAACACAACACTCACTGCGCGCGTGGTTTCTTTCATATCAAAGCGAGGCTTTTCTCACGCCAATTGCGCCCAAAAGCGCTCATGCCCTCTCGTGTCCATCAAAAAAGCATGCTTCATACAAAGCCCCGCTAGATGGAAACAAACAGTTGTAAAATCGAGATCTAAAGGCCCAACCAGTCTTGACTGCCGTTTGGGTTGCCAAACATTAGACACCCGGGGGCCCATTTTCAAGTCATATTGCTCCGCTCGTTCTGTGCATTTGCAACTGACTTTCAAAGGCTGTTGGGTTGCGTGCACCCACATCATACGCGTCAATGCCCCTTGGGCGCCCCACACATGTTTCCACACTTTTGCCGTGCGCCACAAACCAATTGCTGCATCTGCGTTTATTTCCGCAGCTTTTCCACCAAAACCGTCTCGCTCTTAGCAAAACTCTCTAATCGGAAATTGCAGTGATTCCAGCAAAATCTGCATTTTGCCGTTTCCCTCTTAGGGGAAACTCTTTAATCGGAAAGTCTAATATTGGGGAATGAGTTCTTGCCACGCAGAATGGTCGCAGAAGTGGCTGTGTCAGTCTTAGAGGCTACAGAGTGGCTGATTTTGCGGGATCACCAGAATGCCTAAAGTCTGCGTGTTTTGTCCGTCCTTTTCCAGGTGCGCTCTACAGAATGGCCGAGTTCACTGCATCACTAGAACGCCTAAGATCTGCCTGTCTTCCTGGCTCTTGCGCAAGGAGGTTTGAACCCGTCTGCGCCCACGAACGCTCCCATCTCGGAAGCGCAATCCCACCGGCACAGCCGCCGTCGTGTATCGCTCGGAGACGAACCCCACCAGCACGACAACAGCAACAGGAAGCCGCGGGACGCTACTTTACCTGTCCAAGCACAAGTGACATGGTGTGGAACTTGCGATCGCCCGGCCCAATGATTCAAATCAAGCTAAGTGTCTGAACCAGAGCCAAAGCAGAGCGCTGAACTGTTCGGGCTGTTTGCGGCGGCTGCGTTCTGTCGTCTATGCCATTGGGCAGGCAACTCCGACTTGTCCGCTAGTGGTCTTGCAAACCCTTCTTTGAGACCCGGCGCCAGCCGTGTGCAGCGCACGTGGGGGCTGGCGACCCTCAGCTGCCGCAGGCTCACTGGGGCTACGGTCCGACCCCAAAATACTGCTAAAACCTAATGTGTATGGGTCCACCAGTCGGCAGGCCACCGGCGCAATCGTGCAGGGCTCCGCTTCGCTCCGGAGCACTGCTCCAAGGGTTTGTGCGCCAACGACGAGTTGGTTGCCACAGGTCGGGCTGGACTGGGTCTCCCCGCACGGCCACTACGACAGGCAATCCCGACTTGTCCACTAGTGGTCCCAGTGGTCCCAGCGAGTCACTTTTTGCCTCACAGGTACGGGTCTGACAGAACCCTGAACAGCGGTATCGCTCCTTCCGGCCATCCTCTCGCTACACGCACGTCATTCTCAAACATGTTGACACGACATGGCGGCGAAAGTAAAGAACTCTTCATGGAGTGCAACGCTTGCTCCAAAGCACTCAATTGACTTGCAGAAGACAAGCGGAGGGAAGAAGTATAAGGAAGCCAACGCGTGCGAGGGCAAGCAATAAACTGCGGCCGCGCGTGCACGCAAGGGTAGCAAGTCTCCTTGCGCCCTTCTGTTGCCGGGCAAGCGGCCCGGTAGCAAGCTGCCCTGCGCCAGCAAACCTGCAATCACGCAAGGGCTGGCCAGTGCGCTAGGGCAGCAAGTCTCCTTTCGCCATTCTGGTGCTTCGCAAGCGAACCGGTTGCAAGCTTCCCTAAGCCGGCCAACTTGCGTCAATTTGAGTGTGCTGCACGCTACATCCTCTACACGAAATCGGGTAGTGAGTCTCCTTGCGCCCAAATACTGCTTCATGGCTTTCAAGGCCCTGTGCGTCTGTTGTGCCTTGCTGGCAGTCGTCGTTTGCTGTGGCGTGCGCCTGCCTGCATGCCTGCCTGCTTGATCCCGTGTTTGCGCGCTTCCTTGTTTGCCTGCTTTGCTTCTACTTTGATTTGCTTTGCTTTGCTTGGCCTGCTTTACGCTGCATGCTTGGCCTGCTTTGCTTTGCTTGCTTACTTGTATTGCTGGAACCAAAATGCAGATTTGGGCAGAACAACTGCGGAGCTGAATGCCTTTCAGTAGGTGTCTGGTTCGCTTGTGTCATGACTGAAGCTATCAACGTCACCCGGGGCAGGGGCCCCTTCAGAGGCGGCACTGTATGTCAGCGGTCCGAAAAACCAGCACCCATACTGTTAAACTCCTCAGAAAATCAAACATGAACCGCCATATGGGTGAGTCTGAGAATAGGAGACACCGAAAATGGCAGTGTTGTTTTCTTTTTCTTTTTCTCTCCGAATGTTCCCCAACCACACCAACAGCCATATCGCTTTCTGCCGTTTTTTTTGGGCTCGGCTTCAAACCCGCGCCTGCGCCCAGGCTCTGCGCGCGGGGCCGGGGACGCCGGCGGAAGGCCCCGCAGCCAAGAAGCTGTCGAAGGAAATGTCCTGCGGGCGGAGCCACAAGGTGACCTTTGCGCAAACATCGATCTGGTAAATGGAATGACTCCACTCTAAACCAGAACGCCAAATAGATGGCCCTGGTACGTGGAATGACTCCAGTCGTTGTAAACAAGTGGAACGCGAATCTACTTCTAACCAAACTAAGGGCTGCGCACTAGTGCCTGGGCATTCAAGCCAAGCGATTGATCCTGCCAAACTACGGCTTGTACAAATGACACGAACCAAACCACAAACTGTTGCATTCGTGTCGGGTGCTTCAGTTGGAACGACATGTTTGTGGGTCCGTGGGGGAACAGGTTTCCCTCTTTCGAGGCGTTTCCAAATGATAGAGTTGCACCTTGAAGCCGAGGTGTACCTTGGCATCCGCCAAAGCCTCATTTCCCGCACTGCGTGGGTCGGGGTTTGTCAGTCGCTCGAAGGCACAAAGCGCATCGGTACCCAAAGGTTTGCACTGGAGAAAGCCGTGTTTCCCCATGACTTTACCCTGTGGCATCTACATGGAGTGCTATGCCCATCGAACATGTTTTGAGCATAGGCTTTGCAAGTCGCAGTGCTCACAGTTCCTAGGCCGCAAGGTCTTGAAATGAAAATGGGCGTGTTCACAGTGACAAAAGGGTGAGTAGGGCACCAATTAGTTTGCTTGTCCCCCATTATTTGAACCCGGGGATGATTGATGCACAGCACAGAATCCAAAGAACAAGTACGGGGCCCATTTGTTGTAAGGACGCTTGTACTTGCACTCAAAAGATGCCTCCTGCGCTTGCGTCAAAAATGGGGTACCCCGAAGTTGTAGTTTTTGTTCATTTTCTCTGTAACCCCATCCAAAAGGGCCGCCATGACCCACCTTTGGCTTCCCTTTAGTGGACCCAACCCGGAAAGAATCCCATGTCACTCAGGTAGTGGACCCTGAATTTCCCCCAAAACCCTGAACAGCAAACATGTCAATCAGATAGTGCACCCTGAATTTCCCCCAAACCCCGTACAAACCAACAACTTCAATCAGATGATCCACGAGGCCAGTTTCTCTCGGGGCTTCACACGGTGCCCACGTGACGTGCCGCCCACACCCGCCACCCGACACCCGGCGCTCCGTGCGTGCCGCTCTCGGCAGCTTGGCGAGGCACCGGAGACAGGCGGCCGCCAGGCGGTGGTTTTCGGACGGGAAGACCTCAGGGGATTCTTTTTTTTTGCCCCCGGGTGGGGGGGGCGGACCCACACACGCACGGAGGTTGATCAAAAGGTCCTTTAAACCTTGCTCTTTTTGTTTTGTGGGGGGGAATTAATGCGGGTTCGGGTTGATCAAAAGGTCCTTATTTTGTTTTTCTGGGGGGGGGGGGGGGAAAAGCACAGGTTGATCAAAAGGTCCTTATGGGATGCCCATTGGTTGGAAAACCACGAAAACAGATGAGGTATTTCCCAAACGAGAAAAGTTACTCATGGTGATTTGGGGGCCAATAATATTGATCAACCCCCACATATTAAGTTTGGGTGCAGCTTTGCGAAAGAACCAATCCATTTGATAATTTTGGGTGCAGAGTTGGATTGACATGGAAACAATTCGTTTGATCGCTTTGAAAGGAAATTGACATGGAAGCAACCCTGTCGCTGTTGGGGCAGTCTGGAAAGGACACTGGTGCGGAATCAACCCTTTTGACCTTTACCTAAAGCTTATTAGAAGCCACACTTTTTTGGCATGTTCGGCGGTCTTGAAAGAACACCGATAAGCCCGCAACCATGGAGCATGAGGGCGTGGGAATCCAGAAACCAAGCGGACCAAGTCCGCATGGAGAAGAGGAGAAATCGCCACGAGCGATCGGAAGCACTTCAGGACTTCAGTTGACAACCCAAATCTCCAAGTGGTTGGGGGGAACCCTGCACCTAGCTATGGTTGGCCCAGTTCAAAGGAAAGCCGCATGCAACAATGGAGTTGTGGATCGAAGCGCGGTCTTCTTTTCTCGAGACATTTGACCCACTACCACACCTGCAAGAGACATCTAGATGCAACTCCTTACGCTGCGGGAACAAGTGGGATCATACTTTGGAATTGTACTGGCGACTGGTAGTGCCCGGACATGTTGGCAATTGGCGTGGTTCTGCTGAAATTGTTCCCTTCCTTCATCGCCCACCCAAAGCCAAAGTCATGAAAGCGCACCCTTTCATATAATGCTTTTCCTTTCATCCACCAAGGGGAAATCATGGGACGTGTAGCAACAGGGCCCCGCTTCATGTGTGAACCCCGCTCCCTATACATTAATTAGGGAGTGGGAATGTTCCTTCTCAGGAACTCCAACTGCAAACCGTTTGCTTTTTCGTGCTGGCAAACCAAAACGACAAAACCCGTGAAATAAGTGTGCGGCCTATGCGCTTGTTGATTCACTGGCTTCTGCTTGTCTCCAGCCGGGTCGCCACTTCCATTTGGAGTCTGTGGTGTAGCGTGTCCAACACTTCCATCATGGCGTAGTGCTGGTTGGGTGCAAGCAACAGGACGTCCATGGCCGCCAACGCGAGCGGATCCTTGCAATTGCACTTGAGGCACACCGGCCAACTCACTCAGGGAAACGGACATGGCTTCAGACTCGATATCTTCAAGGGCCGGATGCTCCCCTCCTCGCGCTGACCGGGTTTCCAGAGACCCCTAGCCCCTTACGCAACATCTCCATGTCCTCTGGGCCGTTCTTGAGACCGGCGCAGTAGGGCATGAAGATGGGCCAGAACTCCAAAGCCCTTGGCATCTGGCTGAAGCTCCTGCGAAAAAGCGACCTTCGGCGGCTCTGCATTCAACACAAGCTGGAGTGCCATGAAATGGCAAGCGCAGCTACGACTCCACAAATGCCTCAATGTCAGAGTTGCCAGTGCAAATTCTGCACAAACCGCGTTCTGGATCCTTGACCGGACAAACAATCGTTTTCCTTTGTCGGCCTATTTGCGTTGGCCTAAATTAAAGCCGGCCACACATCAAAGAGGAGAACACCTAACAAGTTGAAAGGGCATCCAATCTGGAGCTTGGGGTTGCCCCTCGAACCCCCAACCCGCCCATTGCATCCGCGCCTGGACACCTCGTATCGTACTCGCTGCAGGCCTGGCGCAAGGAAGCTCAGGTGAGACCTTTGTTCAGATCCGAGTCACATGCATTGTGGCACATCGACCCCTGTGAAACCACAATGGCCGCTTTACACCTCAACGGGGAATTTTTCTTGGTATCACAGAATGGGGTCCCTAAACGACAACGTTCCACCAAAGAAAAGGGGGAGACAACCCCAAAGTCCTCCGGGTTCAGACCCTCGTCAAAAGCAAAGGTCCCCATTGCGAGGCAGGGAAAAAGGACCCTCGCATGGTTCAGCGTGATATCATGCAGTTTGTTTTCAAAGGTGATCGTCACTCTCCAAAACCAACTGATCTTCCACCTTGCAGTCCTGGAAAGGGCGATCTTAGATTGCCACGTTACAACGTCACGCTGGGCACCCGGAAGCCCCGATCCACCCCTTCCACGCCAGGTAGAGGCTTCTAGACGGTTGGCCACCTACCTAGCATATGTGCCGAGATTCGAAATACTCCTTCACCGCGCATGGAACTACCAACTACCTAGATCCCCATGAAAACAAGCGCAAGTCCATGAATCACAAGTTTCCATTCGGGCGAAGAGGCCGGGGTGAAGCGGATCTGTGCGAAAAACGGAGCCCCCAGCGGCCCCAGCCTATGTCATCCTGCCATTTCAAGTCTGTGAGGAGCTCTCGCACAGGCCTTACAGGGACGAATCACAGCAGCAAAATATCAGGGGCCCCAAACAATTCGAAAAGGGTTGTGGGGTACCTTAAAAAGAAACTTAGTCATGAGTCACGAGTCATGAGTATTGGAGTAGACTATTAAATATCTAGCCCTGCATGTCACACACACTCTAAAGGGATCCTTCTGCAAGGAAGGACCTTCATGGAGCTCGCTTTTGTGAACATTTCCACTCGCCAGATTTGTGTTTGCAGATCTGTTCAGAGGGGAGCTCCGAACAGTTCCTCGGCCGAAAGTCTCATGGGCTTTACCCTTCCAAGGCATCTCTGGCAACCTGGATCATTGGTTTTGAGGGCTCCCCGTCAGGTGCCATGTTAGTGGGAAGGAGGGAGCTACTTTGTCTCGTGCTGGCGGAACATCTGGTCTCAGCCGACATGGACCTGGGAAAGGTATCGAGTCCCCCCGGATCCCTCCCCATGGCCCCGTTTCCGGTTTGGGGCCACTGCTCTTTGGTCACAGGATGCTTTTGCAGCTTTCAAGATCCAGAAACAATGCTTGCCCTATTCGCACATCTTGCCCCCCCACAAAGGGAATCCGAGAGACGGAATTCCAGGTGAAGGAGGGTCTGTCAAGTTCCACATTTCTAGGCGCCATGGATTGATTCATAAGCCCGATTGATAGGGGATGTTTCCTACAAGGGGAAATCCTTTGATCAAAGTCAAGCATGTTTTTTTTGGCTGCCTGAACAAAAAAAAGAGCCCTGGCCTGAACTTCAAGCAACGTCCTTCAACCGTGGAACGCATTTTGCCAGCCCTCCGAAGGTTCAGGGTGTCCTTCGGGTTCTGGAGAGCTGTGCTCTCTTCTTTTTTTTCTCCACATGTGGGAGGTATTTCCTTGGCGCCGTCCCAAGGGTCCCTACCAGTCCTGCTTTTTTCGATCCGAATATCACGGGAAGGACACCCAGGTCGGGGCGGGCTTCTCTGAGGGTAGCTTCTTTGAGGGGTGGTTAAAATGACCACCATTTGGGAGGGGTCCCGCAAACTACAACTACGAATCCGAAACTGCAAAACAACTTCATCATGGGTGGGCTGTTCTACCCCCAGCCCCCGAACTGGGCGATCTCCCCTTCGTTTCCCTTCAAACCTGTTGAAAGGGTACGGCACCTCATAAACCCACCCCAGGCGCTTCTGGTTTCCGTGTGGATCCCTGGATTCCCTGGATCCCTGCCCCAAACCTCTGAACTTTCCTTCTCACCCGCCCCCAACTCTCCGGCCTCAGGATCTGGTTCCGAAACGACTCGCCCTTGGGGCGCTGGACACCCCAGTGGCACAGCACCTCTGCACAGGCCACGCCTCGGCGACGAAACCGGCGACGCTGGTGGCTTCAGGTGGCTTGCAGGAAGTTCTGGGTGTTTCAGGCGCTTTTTTGGTGCTTTGGTGCGATGCTTCAGGTCTTCTTTCAGTTGAGGTTTAGACAGCTAAGGTGTTTTGGGGGTGTGGTTTCAGAAGAATGCAGCTTGCTGTTGGTGTTGGTGTTAGTTGCAAGGAGTGGCGTATGTCTCACTGACTTCAGGCAAGAACCTGGGGTTCAACTCCCAAACCGCCAGCCCATGACGAGCTTAAAACCGCTTTGCCATGCCTCCCACAAGTCAAAGCTTTTTGGGGGCCGTGAGAAACGAAGAGCTTAATGCAAGAAACAACAAGTGAAGCCAATGCCAGTTCGTACCCAGCCTAGACTACCAATGCTTAGCTGCATCTGCCCAGTGCCAAGGAATCTCACTTGCCAAGCGCTTTGCGCCGATGTTGCTTTTCCCATCTTAGCCAAGCGAAATACTATGTTGATCGTAATTGAGCTGTGGCTCAAAAATGGTACCTGTTCGGAAACTGAGGCAAAAACTTGCGTAACCCCGGCTGTTTCATATTGAGCCACACCCAAATGGCAGCTGCTCTTGCGCGCTTGCGCTAAGCTCACGGCAGGGCATCTCATGCCAACCAGGCTCTGACAAAGGTCTGCCGAGCACCTGCAGCAAGCGGACGTATCACACTGCTGAAAGGGGACTCCGAATTTGGCCGAACAGCATATGCCCCCAAAATAGCTTTCCAAAAATTGAGCTTTCTGCCGAAGAGAAACCCAAGGCTGACGCCCGCGGGCTCCAAGCCTGCAGATTCAAACCTTCCTTTTCAGGGAGCCCAAAATGGGGGGGGCATGTTCACTCGACAAAGCTGTCCACTGAAGAACTGGACCATGGCCAGGGTGGCACCACCTCTCCATGTTTCTAACTTCCTCATTCCAATTGGTTGGTGGACGTGAATTCCCCACCGAGTTGCCCACCAAAATTTGGTCCCCTACTTAAGAATACCTAGAAAGTGTCCACCAAAGAGTCCCCTACTAAAAAAATAAATAACAAATCCCGCCCATGTGAGGCAATCCGACTGCTCATAGGTGTCCTTTTAGGGGAAATAGCCGGATTTCCCTAGATGATTAAACCAGCAGGTAAACCAGGGGAACTTGAACCGTCCATTTTTCGACCAAAACAACCAAAAGGACATCTATGCGACTGCTCATGTGGCTGCAACTCCTTCTCGGCCCCGCACCTGCGCCACGCGCTCATGGAGCAGCGGCGGCAATTGCCCGGAGCTCGCTAGATGGCCCAAGACCTGCGTCTTGGATCCCGCAAGGGGCAGTGGTCATCTTTCCAAGTGGCTGGTCAATAATGCGTACCCAAAATGGCTTGCCCTGGTAAATGGAACCAAAGACCAAAACCTGCGGTCCCCTGGTTGGCTTATTTTGACCCATACCCCAAATCAGCAAACCAAACCACCAATTCGGGGGAAGCTGACCTCCAGATTCCTTTTTCAGCCTTCCAAACATCGTTTCTTGGATATCCTTGGCCTTTCCAAGTGGAGAGGATAGTAGGCTGGTACTGTGGAACTCTGCAGGGATGGATGAAACCCTGTGAACAATGGTGGGCCACCCAAAATCGGCTTCCCCTTGAAACAATCCCTTCCTTATTGGAAAAAAAAGCTGCCCAAATGTGCTGGCCCCCCCGAGCAGTAGTGGTACTGAATTCCTGGTGGTATGCTAAACGTGCTCGAACGTCTTCAGGAATTCCTCGTCTCTGAAGAAAGGCACAAGTTCGCAATTGCTAGTGTTGCTCCCAAAAGGATATGCAACTGCCAATCTAGAGTTCTGCTCCTGGAGATTGGTTGGCACACGTTGTGGGCAATCCTGATCGCTGACTGAGACAGGGAACGCAATCAACCGATCATACAAAAATGCTTCGCAATACCTATGCATCACTTGCACCCCACAAATCCTCCACATGCAGTTGGGGGCTGCATTCATGCAAGCGACAATCTGAGTCGGGGCCTTTGCAGCTTCTGCTTCTGCAGCTGGGTCCGAAGATTTTTCTAGTACTCCTGCCACACGGCGCTCTCTCTTTGGACTGGGGGCCAAGCTACAGAGGGGCGAATGGAGTTGTCTCTCTTTTCCTTGGGCCTTTTTCAAAGTAGTGAACCCATTTTTTGTTGGTGAGTTCGCGGAGAAAACCAAGAAAGCAATTGATTGCGCGCACGCCAAATTTTGGGGACTTGGGAACCTCCACAAGCCACCAACGGCCGGAACCGGGCAAAACCATGAACCTAGATCCAAAATCCCAACCCCCCTCCCCCCCCCCTCGCGCGCCTCTCCCCACCTCTCCAACCCCCCCCCCCTCCCCTGGGTGTCCTTAACTCAACAGTTCAGCTCTACTCCCTCATCTGATTTCCGCAAGGTTGCTTTCAAGGCATCTGAGGAATTGCTCGCGTTACTCACCATCGGTGAGCTTGGCGCAGAAACATATGGGTGTTTCCGACATTCGGGGCACTGTTTAGATAGTCTTAAAGGTACATCACACAGACCCCGGGCCTGACTTTTGGGTCCCGAATCCAACTTTTCGGACACTTCCACATCTCCCCCCTCAAACAAAATGGTGTTCTTTTCCTTGATTTGCACCCCCAGAAACGAGCACCGCACCTCCAAAGGGAACCCACCCCCAAAGACGCCCCGCAAACCCCCCCCCGCCCGGCGCGCTTTGCCAGCACTCCACAGGCTGGTCGAACTGCATCCGCGCCAGGTGCCAGCGCTGCAGCCCCGGGACCACCAAACAAAGCGCCAGCTCCTGCGCTGGAAGAACTCTAGGAAAAGACCGGTGGATGCCCTACATCGTCTGCAAGAAAAACACATTCGAAACCAAACAACACCATGGCAAACTTTCTTCCCCGACAGTGTTTGCGGCATTTTCGTGGAAGACTTGGCTTCCCGGTGAGGATCCAATTTCTGGGTCCACGGTATCAACTTCGTATCTCAACATGGAAACACACAAGCTTTCTGCGAACCCGAATGGGAAAACCCAGCAACCCTTTACTGGATCGATTCATGGGTGGAAGGGGGCCATGCAAGAAGGCAGCGAAAAAGGGAAAGGAAAGGTGCTAGTCGGAAGAAAATATGAGTCAAACCATGAATCAAACATAGGGAGCCCTTGTCAGACCCGCTTGATTGAAAGACAACCAACATAAATCCTGGCCAGGTGGAAGAGCTCCGAACTCTTTGTGACACATTGCCAAATCCGTTGGTCTACTTGGGGACCCCCTGTTTCCAATGGCCCTGGCAAAAACTTCGACTTGGTCGCCGGAAAGGGACCGGGAATGCCTCGCCGAGAAGTCTGGCCCATTTTGCCAGTGCCGCTAAGCAGAACCATGTTCCCCTGTCAGGACCATTTAAGTCATGAGAGAAGAACAAAGCATCAGCTTCGGCATTCGGCAAAAGGAAGGCAGCATTTGGAACATAATTCTCATCCTGGGGGGAGTATCTGGCGAAGGAAGCAAACCATGGCCCTCCAAATGGCCCAAACCCGGGCCTGGTTCTCCGGCAGATCCGGCAGAGGAGCCAAAGCGCGAACTGCACGCGGAAAGAGGCGGACACGGGCTGGCTTGGATCCTATCCAAAGGAAAAAACACAAAAGATAACCTCTTTGATAACCCAAAAGAAGAGTTTCAGGATTGCACTGCACAGTCTCCATAGGGTCCAAAAGGTGACGGTTCAACATTTGGGACCCATTTGGCACATTCTTCGGCTGACCTTCAGTGACCTAAGGCCCACCAGAAATTGTTCGTTTCTGCTTCCCTGGCTCTTGTGGACCGGCAAGGGCCCGGCAACGATCAGAAAGGCCTTGGCAAGTCAGAAGCAACATGAACAACCACAAACCGATTGAATGAGGAAATCAAACAAGCCAAGCAAAGAAGCGATCATCGTTTTCCAAGTTATCCTTCTCTAGCCCAACGACAAAGGGCCACGCTGTCTAAAAATCGCAGCGGCAAGCCAATGAGTGATTGAGATTCTGTGTCAGAACTGCGTGATGCGATGTTTTGGGGATGCAGGTGGTAGGATGCAACAGCCGATGGACTTTTCGACCGACTCAACTGGTTCAAAGCCTGAAAGGGGGCACAATGTGAGCATCGTTGTGGGGGGTCCCAACCTCCAGCTTCGTTTCGGAAACCCTGTTTTCCCAACCACAAAGCCGTTTTTCGATCACCGGCGTTCGATGACAAGCTACAACACGCCTGCTCGTAACCCTTACCTTGCCTCCAGTTAACCTTTTGGTTGCCTCCAGTTAACCTTTTGCCTTATGGGCCCAACAAAAAACGGATTGTGGTTTTCTCCACTTCCTCTCTGTGAACCTCTTGGTTTATGCGTCCAAAAACCCGGTGGGTGGTTGGAAAAAACCGGGAGCTCCCTTCCTATCAGCGCCTGGCTCAGCGCTGCGAAGCTCCAGCTGCACCCGCGAAGCTCCAGCCACAGTGTGCACGTCCAGCACCACGGTGCCCGTCCAATACTTCCACTGCACCTGCCGACATCTTCCATTTGGTTAGGGCCAAACAGAAAAAACATGAAACTATGTCCAGTAGTGATGAACTCCTTTTAAGACCAACAAGGAAAAATTAAAAAAAATGTTCGCAAGCAAATGGAGGTGATACTTGAAGGATAGGGAAAAGGAAGCCGAGGACGGGGGGGGGGGGAAATCTGAGGCTCGGGACCCTTTTCGGGATTCTTGAAGGGAACCCATTTTGGAGGCAACCCTCTTGGGTCAGGCGGATATCTTATCTTGCCGATCCTTGGAAAGTTTGCGCACTGCCCTTGTCCTTCTCCCTGCCAACAATTCCGCATGATGGCTTAAAGATGGCTGCTCTTCTCACGTCAACTGGTGTGTACGGATGTACCTCAACCCTCCCTAAGACGCAAATCTGATGTGCTACCACACGCCTACAACTCCACACCCACCTCAGGCATTGTCTCCTCCTCTGCACGGCCATACTTGTCCTTCAGGCTGTTGTACACATGCGCTGCGGCACCCCCGGCCTGTCGAAACAGTCACTGCTGCAGATCCTTTGGCCCCTTCCACATCTCCCTGCGTGGATCTCTCAAGCATCGCTCAGACGTTAGGTGCCCGTTTTGAACACACACTGCCACGCGCCCATAGTTCAAAAGTACCTTCTTTGCAGCGGTCTTCGAAATTCGAAGACTAGCATCCACTGGAAAAGACTGCATGATTGTTGAAAAGACGGGTCGCCTTTCGGTGGGTTGGCGTGCTCTGTCGCTTGCGGCCTGCCTGGTCGTAGCCGAAACCAAAGCCTTGATTGTTGGTCTGTCGCGTGACCTCACCTGAGCGTGACTGGTTCAAACAAGATGCGATGGGATTCCACATCTCACTTGGAATCGATAAGCTCATCTGCGGGCGTTGGGGGGGGGGGGCGGGGAATCAGTCTATCTCAGAATGAGGACCTCTTGTTGAAACAGGAAACCCAAAGGAAGCCAACAAACTGGACAAATGGGCGAACTCTCAAAATTGGTGGCTTTCCGGTTTCCCCTTAAAAGGCCGGCACCCTCAAAAGGATGACCAGAACCGGGTGTGTCTCAAAATGAGGGCTTGCAAAGCGTCTCTCTCCTTTTGGTCGCCCTTTCAGTACCTACAGGGGTACTGAGCCTCAAGCGAAAAAACCGCACCCAAATGTTCAAAAGTAAAAACTCCTGGGTTCACTTACTTGGAACCCCTTGTGTTGATTCTTGTTGGTTGTCTAAAACGTGCGATCGGTTCATGACTGTGTCTATTAGAACGCCACGAGTTAGACTCCTGTTCTAGGATTGATGACCATCCCTCAGACTTTAAGTACTACAAGAGCCTAAACAAACGAATTGGGGTGCGGCGTTCTACTATGCCAAATTACTTCTTGATCATTGAAGAAACATGTTTGGCAACTATATATCTAGCCATTTACATGAAAAAGGTCAAGTGAAGGGCCTTTGTTGGCTTCCAGTCTGGCTGTTCGTCTGTCTGTAGCTGTAGGTGAAAAAAGAGTGCTGGCACGCCAAAGCGTCCAATCAGATCTGCGCCCGGTCCTTCAAAGAGCCTGGTTGTGACCAACATGTTTTCTTGCTACTTGGCTATGGGTCAAAACCCCGTACCCCCGTGCCCAGCGGCCCAGGTCCAGTTGCTCCTCAAAGGCCAAAGGCTCCAAGGGCGCCTGGGAGACCATGAGCTCCAGCCGCCCGGGGCTGCGGGTGTAGAACCAGCCTACGTCTGATGAATCCCCCAACCGGGGAGGGGGGGTGAGGGGGAGCGGGGGGAGGAGAGGGGGGGGAGAGGGGGGGGGGAGGGGGGTTGCAAAGGATCCCTGCGTTGCAAACCGGAAAAAGGGGGAGCCGCACAAATCGCCGCCCAAACGACTCGCGACCAGAAAGCTGCAGGGCTGGGGAGAACGAAACGTGAGACTACATGAGCGCCAAAGTCCTTTCATGTCCTTTCTAGCACAGCAAACAGCAATCAACTGCCAGCAAACAGCCAAGCACCGATCATGAAAAATCAACACACAACAAGCAACAAACAACAACCAACCACTGCCACCACAGTCGCCGCCGTCACTCCAATCACCTCGTCCATCCCGACCCCCACCACCAGCACACAGCACACAGCACCCAGCACCAACAGCGACAGCAGCAAAGCAAACCAAACCACACGGACAAACCAACCAACCAAGCAAAGCAAAGCAAGAAAGCAAAAGCAAGCGACACCAAATCAACTACACGAAACCAAACCAAGCTAGGCCACACCAAAGCAAACCAAACCACCAACCGCCCAAGCAAACAAAGCAAGCAAGCTAACACAAAACAACCGCAGTCTAGCATTGATGCCTTTCCCTGCTGAGCGACCGATCTGCACCACCGGAGCGCCCAAGCCATAGATCCACTGCGAGGCGAACTCTTGCATCCTCTGCTTCCTCGGCAATGCTTTTCGCGAGATACTGGGTCTCAACGTAGCAATCTAAGACTCAGAATCATATCAAACTGCCTCTGAACAGCGAACATGTTGCAACTCATGTACAGTTGTTTTCTGTGTGGCCTTAAAGGGACATCACGAGAAAACAAAACACATTGTTGGGGTTCCCGAAGCAAAAAAAGACACACCCGTATCCGATGTCCAAAGCACCCAGCCGCCGCCCTCGCCAAGCTTCAGGTTCTCGCCTGCCAAAAGCTCGAGGAACTTCTCGGTCTTCCCCCCTTGGGCGAAGACATCTGTCGCCATGGCCAAGGAGTCGTGGAAACTCTGCCATCCCAGCCACCTCGTGAGGGGAGTAATTATGCCGCAAATGCAAAGTAGATAGATGTGTTAGGATCAGTTCTTTGGCACCCCTGCAACACTTTGGTCTTTTTACTGATCTGTCAGTTCTCAAGTGCACATAAGCAGGACGTCAAAACAATTCGAGCACCGCTTTGAGGGGCCGATTGCTTTCACTGGTTGCCCGTGTATTCCTTCTGAGGGAGCGCGGTGCGTTTGAAGCACATGTGCAATGTTGTGTGTTTGTGTGTGTGTGAGAGTGTGTGTGTGTGTGTGGGTGTGTGTGTGTGTGTGGTGTGTGTGGTGTGTGTGGTGTGTGGTGTGTGTGTGTGTGTGAGCGCCAAGTCTTTACTCAGCAGCTGGGCATGGATTTGTTTGATGGCCATATAATGGCACCGCAGTGATTCTGGCCTTGCAGCCCGGAATGCAAGTTGGAGCATGGCTCACATAGCGGAGGCAAAGAAATCAAGCGGTTGTATCAACTTCATGCGCCCTCACTATAATAAAGCTCACAGTCTTGGTACAGTGTAGGCCGTGATCTGCTCAATTGCAGTTGCAACCAGCTTGTTTCATCTCGTGGTGCAATCACGTGTGAATGAAGAGTAAATCTGTTCGTTCAGGACTGAAGTTGCTTCCACCAACCCAATCTGAACATGTCTTGATGCATGTTACCTTCTTAATCTGGGTTCGGCACAACACCTTACTTCGGATAGCCTGCAAACAAAGGTCCCAGAAAATAACACGCCTGTCGCTTTGTAAAACACCTCCAACCCATAAATATGGTCTGGTGCGCAAACCCCTTCTGCAGGACTGTGGTCCTCTTGACGCTTTTGTGCGTTTGTGAGAGGGGAGACAAAAAGCCGCAAAGCAGAACAGGTGAAATAAAGTCTTCTTGGGGTATTGGTCATTAACTTCCCTACTATCACTGACTTGTCTCGGCTCTTTACATCTTTGCCATGATTCCAGCAAGCCCTTCTCACACCTTCACCTTGATATATGGCCTCACGAACAAGAAACTCAAACCATTCCTCTGCCATGAGAGGGCACCTCGGACAATCAATTTTTGGGGACACCCTGTTGCCCAGTAATTCTGGTAGAAGGGACCCCTGTTGGGTTTCACATGTTGGGTTCCACCCAAGGAATTCCGGTGCACGACTGGGACCCTCGCACGGCAGACAGCGCCTGCAAAGCTCGTGGATGACGAGGTAGGACTTCACCTCCCTCACCGGTCCCAAGACCGTGGCCGCGGGGCCTGGACCGACCGCCGCCTTTTTTTTCTCTTCCGAAAGTTGATTCTCTGGCTGGTGCGATAGGCGAATGAGAAATGGAATGAGCCCTATTAGCCTATACACCATCCAACAGGTGGTTTCCTTTAAAGGGGACCCCCAGGTTCCTTCCCTCATTCTCCAGTGAGCACCAGCAAGTTCTGGCCGGTTGAGCACAACATGGGCTATGATCAAGAAACTTGACTGAGACTTTCGGAAGAGTCCATCCCGTTGAGGCCATGTCGGCACCCCCTGCCCACCTTGGTGCAGACCCATAGTGACGCGAACGGGGCCGAAGCAGAAAAGGCCGGAATGGATCTTCAACAGGATAGGATTGCTCCCTCATCTTTTCCGTGCACGATGGCTTGACCTCCAGATCACTCTGGTTGGGTTTACGTTAGCTTCCAAGCCGCCAGGAACAGCTCGAAAGAGAATAACCAGAAGCCCAGGGGTGAAGGCCATACCTTTGACTCTTGATTCTGAATTCTCATCAGGGGAACCAGGACAACCCACTGTCCCGAAGTGATGGATGGCCTAACTTCACACAGTCTTCCTGGATTTCACCATGCAAGGTCAGGCCAACATACGCCAATTCAGGCCACACGTCACGTGGGGGCGTGTGTGTCTGCCTCTGGAAAGCAAAAAGGGGGCTGCAGGGGCAGCTTCCTGCTCCCCCAGCCTCTAATCTCGGACTCGTTGGCGGAACACAGAATCTGGACATCTCTGCCTTCGCTCACCATGCTCTGCCAAAGCTGACCTCGGCATCTTGCGGCAGAAGGGCCGACTCTTCAAGTGGGCGGGTCTTCACGGACACCGCTGTCCAGTGTGTAAACAAACCCAACAAAACATGTGACCATGAGGATCAAACAAACTCATTTCTCACTGGGCACTGGCACGGGTGTTCCCTGCCATGGCATTTGAAGCGAAAAGGTGTCCTTGCGAAGCAATCATAGTCTCCCATGATTGTCCCTGGCTACTGACCCTGGAAACAGGGAGGCCCCTTTTGGGTTTGACCATTTTTCCCGGGGGCCCCGAAAATGGAGAGCGCCACCAATGGGAGAAACACTCACCGCGCGAAGCTGGCTGCGTGCTGAGAAAGACGCCGTCGTCGTGCAATCGCGCAGACACTTCCTCGGCTTCAGTGAGGGTGAAGCGTAGAGTGTGACTTGCAGTCTGCTTGAACTGCTGAAACAGGACATCAACGCTTTGTGCCAAGGGCAGCAGAAATGCGAAATGTGTTGTGGATGCCTTTCCTTTTGGCTTGCCTTTCCCACCATCCTTCAAAAGGAGTTTCCCCCCATTTGCAATGTTCATACTTTGCTTGGTGCTGAAGCCTTCTCTGCCACTTGAAATCTAACAGCACCTCCGTTTGGTATACATGATTACCCCGTTACCAACCAGATGAATTGTGCAACAACAGTTCACTTTAGGCATGTCCTGCGCACCTTTTCTACCTGTGATTTCTTCAAATCGATGGCATTTATCCTCCCACACACACACACACACACATTGGCCGCAACCACGCTCTCTTTTCCATCCGTTCAAAAGGGGTCTGTGCGTTTCCTGGTGGGAGGGTGTAGTACCCCTCTACTAAACTGCTTTGTGTCTCGAACTTTCTGGCGCCAAAAAGGATGCCGGTCACGGCCTTCGACCCTTCGACTTGTTCTTTTGTGGCAAGGCAAAACCACGATCGTTTTAGTCAGGCCATTGTGCAATGTCTTCATAGCCAAGATATGTACACATCCCCGTTCTTGTATCCCATGTTGGGCAGCACGTGAACATGATTCCAACTCTACTAGGATGTCTCGCTTCGCATCCCCGGACCTCTAGTGGTCATGGGGGAAACAGCTGCTTTTAAGTGAATGGACCCCCTCCAACAAGAAAAGGAAGGCACACCTCTTGTAGGGGTTTTCCCCTCCAAAGGGAAAACAAAGGAGCACTTCCCCTTCTGGAGCTCTGGTTGCGTTCGCTTTTTTGCTCAGGCACCGCCTCCGCGAGGCTCTTGGGCCAAAGACGCAGCAGGCAGCTGTCCGCCAGAAAGCGGCACAGCCCGTGGAGGAGCCACAGGTCTTCCTCCTCCACGGCGCCGAACCTGGGCGAGCCGCAGGCCGCGAGCGGAGAACCGAGCTGAAGGCCGAGGGGTGTGGGGCTCGGTTTGGACATGCTGGGTGGGTGGAGAAAGCGGAACATGGGACGTAGGAACAGGAAAACACCGCCACGGGAAAGATGGCAGGCTGTGACCCATGTTTTGTTTGGCCAAGGATAGCTGAGGAATAAAGTAAGAAACTGACATGCCTGAAACCGGCCGCGACGGGCTCTATGGCAAAACTCCGGTGGTGACTGGTGAGCTTGGTGAATGATCCTGGCATGTGTCCTGTGACAATGCTCTGCCAAAGCCATTGACAGAGTCAAGACTAAATTGCTGAATTAATCTGGAATGGTCTGCCCTTCACAGGGCCATATGCCAGCTTCTTTCAACTGGCACCAACAGTTTCTGGCTGGCTGTCGAAAAATCTGCGGTCTTCATTTCTTGCAGCTGCTGCATGTTGCTGAGTCAAGCACCATGAGGAGGCAAGCGCATAGCAGTGGAGAGGTCGCACCACCGTGGACATCATACTTGGACAAGTACCTCAGATGTGAGTCATGCATCACTGTTGGTCCGTGGTGGTGCTTGCCAGACCTTCCCACCATTTGTGCTACTGAAGCAGCTACTTTCTTTTTTCCAGTCCTTGAACTATCGCCAATCAACATGGGGGCTCAAGCATTCACTGACACAAAGGTCCCTCAACCAACATCCATATGCGGTCTTTGAAGAGGCGATACAAGCCTTGCAATCGACATCAACGCGGCCCCACCTTTTGGAGGACTTTGAAAAGCAGCTCCTGAGACACCAAGGCCAAATGTCCCTTTTCGAATGCTAGTGGTGTGTAACCACTGAAATCCATCTATTTTCATCCAAACCCACTTTTCAAACTCACTTGGAAGGACACAACTCCCAGGAGCCGCTGGCATCTGGTTCTTTGCCTGCGCTGAATGCGGTCGGGCAGCTGCCAAGCAAGGAGAGCTCGAAGAGATACAGGCCCCCGTGGGTGCTGTAGGATGGCAAGCTGGAGCCCTGCAGAAAGCAATAATATGGCAGGAGTGCGCAACGTGCCGCAGAATTCCAACGGGATGGACAAGCAACCCAGCCAGCCAGACAGTAAGCAAGCAAGGAAGCAAGCAAAAAACAGGCAAGTTCGCAAGGGAGCAAGCAAGCGAGCAAGCTAGCAGAAAGTAAGCAAACAGCTGCAAAGGAAACCAACCATGCGATGACCACGAATCTTAGGACACACCGAATTCCAACGGGAACGTTGTCTTTTCGAGATCACCGTCCATTCAGCAGGCCGAGGCACGTGCAGTCGGGCGCCATCTCGCTCGCTTCTCGTGAGGCCCAAGGGACGGGCGGGGCGCAAACTTGGCAGCGGCAGGAACACGGCGGTGCCTCGAAATGGAGCGAGGGGCACCGTGATCGTGATCAATGCAAAGTGAGGCTTGCTGCTGTCCGTTTGTGGGCGTCCAATCACTTCGTCATGTAGAGTCTGGATAGTAGATCAAGGGGAAGGGATCCCTTTCTACATTGTGCGGCAACCCTGAAACTCCGTTTGGGGATCAAAAGAAGGGTCGGCCAGATCTGCACTCTGGCTTGGGAACACTTAAGGACGCAGACCAAACCTGGGCGGATGGGCAACTTTGTTTTGTTGTGTTTGGGGGTACCTGATATGGCAAAGGGTGTTAAGGCTTGCACTGCCAGTCAACTCCTTTGACGGGTTGGTGATCAAAGGGCCTGCTCACCATGCTGGCTATTGAAGCCCACGATAGCTGAAGACCGTTCGTGTCAGCGTCACGACGCGACGCTTTCCAAGCAGGACACAGCTGGATTCCATGCCCCTTGCCGCTGGGATGGTTTCAATACTATCAGTCCTTGACAAGGTTCACAACCATACTCTCGTTTCTGTCGAAGGGTCTAATTTGGACAAATATAGGTAAACCAACCCTGGGATGTGTACGCATCTGGCTTATTCGCAGCATTGGTGTATGTGCGTGTGTGTGTGTGTGTGTGTGTGTGTGTGTGTGTGTGTGTGTGTGTGTGTGTGTGTGTGTGTGTGTGTGTGTGTGTGTGTGTGTGTGTGTGTGTGTGTGTGTGTGTGTGTGTGTGTGTCTGTGTGTCTGTGTCTGTGTCTGTGTCTGTGTCTGTGTCTGTGTCTGTGTCTGTGTCTGTGTCTGTGTCTGTGTCTGTGTCTGTGTCTGTGTCTGTGTCTGTGTCTGTGTCTGTGTCTGTGTCTGTGTCTGTGTCTGTGTCTGTGTCTGTGTCTGTGTCTGTGTCTGCGTCTGTGTCTCTGTGTCTGTGTCTGTGTCTGTGTCTGTGTCTGTGTCTGTGTCTGTGTGTGTGGTGTGTGTGTGCGCGCGCGTGGGCGTCCACGTGCGTGCGTGCGTGTGCATGTGAGTGTGCGTGCGCGCGTGCGTGAGGCTGTGCATTTGTGCGTGTGCGCGCGTGTGTGGGTCTGTGTGGGTACGTGCATGCAGTGCGGTGTGGCGCGGTGCATTCGTGCTTGCGTGTTTGCGTGTTTGTTGGTGTGTCTGTGTACAACAGGGGCTCTACTTAAAATGACACTTAAACTCACCCAACACTCAAAAGGGAAGCACAAGGACTCTTTTGGGGGTGATTGCAAGGAAAGCCAAAATCGGTAATCACCCATTTGAGGCTTCCTAGTTGGATCAACAACTGGTATTCTTAAGAAAAACAAACAAACAACCAAACAAACAAAACAAACAAACAAAACAAACAAACACCCAAAAAACGACACAAAAAAAGAACAAACAAACAAACAAACAAACAAAACCAAACAAACAAACAAACACAACAAACAAACACAACAAAGAAACAAACAAACAAACAAATAAACAAAGAAACCAACCGTCACGCTTGACTTCACTGCCCGCCCCCCGCCGAAGCAAAGACGGACAGTCCGCACTGTCAACCCTCAAGTGACAGATGCAAGAGGCAAAACCCAATACTACAAGGTCGAAGTCAATCATAGACTGCGACATATTGAGAAGGCAGCGCCATAAGCATAGCCTCAGGGTCTGTTATTAAGACCAAACTGAGTTGGCTGCAGATATGCATTAACTGCCCCAGGGCAGCTATTTGCCCCGAGGAAAAGGCTTGGTCCAATTGGGGGTCAAGAGTGCGCCGCTTGGCGTCAAGGGAATGGCTGGGTGATCCCTGGTGCGCACGGCAGGACTTTGCGCACTAAGACCGAGAGATAGCGTCTCCTCCTGACAGGACCAACCTCCTGGAGGTCGAACACTCCTTCTCTGTTAATACGAAAGCCAGCTTGCTGCCAGAGGTCGGCAACAACTTCGCAATCCGGGTGCGACTGGAATTCTGCCCCTTGTTCACAGCAGATGGCTAGCTGTCTGGACATAGCCTCATTGGCAGTGGTACAGATCAATACACGGCCACCTTCACTATGCAGTCCTTGCTTTCGTCCCGATTGACTCCAACACAAGGGCAATTGGCAGACCAGAGATCACGCTGCAATGACGAGAATGCATGCTGCCGATATCTATCACTTCTGCCAGCATGCCAAGCAAAGGGCGGAGAATGAGCCCACAGGTGTGCCCGGCGAAGAGCATGTGGGTCCAAATGAGACACAATAGCTTTTTGATGGTGGATTCCTCCAAGTCCAGGGCTGCAACGGTCCTGATTTGGACACTCTGCCTCTGCAAAAGGTGTACTGCATGTGACCAACCAGCAAAAGCTCCACAAAAAGGAGCCGCGTGCTTGACAGCTTTGCAAGGAGTTCCCGGATGTACGGCTGACACGAAAGCATCCGAGGTTGGTTTCCAGAGGGCTGGACCACCCGCGCAAGCGAAGCACTTGAATATGCACAGGCAAGAATCACCTGAGTGATCATACAAACCCGTGGTCCAGAGACCAGGAAGAGACACCCTGATTGTTGTGCCAGGCTTGGGCATGACAGCAGGCCACGACAGGAGGTCAACTTGCCCTTGTACCACAGCGAGATGAACATCAGGGGTCCCATCAGACTGCAGCACAAACCAAACACGAAAGCAGGCAAAGTCATCCAGTGTCTTCGGTAACGCGGGCGGGTGTGTCATGGCTGTGTTGGCAGGCCGGGGCGTGACAGGCGCGCCGCGGGAAGGCCATGAGCCAAACGCCTACAAAGAAACCAACCAACCAACCAACCAACCAACCAAACAAACAACCAAACACACACACACAAACACAACAAAATAAATAAGTAAGTAAGTAAATAAAATAAAACAAACAAGCAAACAAACAAACAAACAAACAAACAAATAAACAAACACACAAACAAACAAACAAACAAAGAAACAAAGAAACAAAGAAACAAAGAAACAAAGAAACAAACAAACAAACAAACAAACAAACAAACAAACAAACAAACAAACAAACAAACAAACACACAAACACACAAAACAAACACAAACAAACAAACAAACAAACAAACAAACAAACAAACAAACAAAGAAACCAACCAACCAACCAACCAACCAACCAACCAACCAACCAACCAACCAACCAACCAAACAACCAACCAACCAAACAAACAAACAAACAAACACACACAAACAAAACAACACAAATAAACAAACAAGCAAGCAAGCAAAACAAACAAACAAACAAACAAACAAACAAACAAACAAACCAACAAACAAAGAAAGAAAGAAACAAAGAAACAAACAAAGAAACCCACCAAACAAATACAAACACACACACACAAACAAACACACACACACACACACATGAACAATATACCTCGCCAGGCTGCAGGCTGAGAGCGGCCATGGGCGATTGAGCCTGAGCCAGAGACCAGGTGAAGTGCTGTGAGTGGTCAAAACTCTGGTAACTCTGGTACTCAGGTGGCTACATTTGCCTTGAATAGCTGGCTTTGATTCCCTGGTGGTCACAATTTCTATGGTGGTTTTGATTCTGTGAATGGGGTTCATGACCATCCCCCACCGATTTCAAGCAAAAGGGAGCTTTCACCAAGGCAAGCTAAGGTTTCCTTTTTTGTGATGGAATATTTGCTGGCAACGTGACCCATGGCCAAATCTTTGGTTTGGCCGACCTTGTGACTTGAGAAGAAAAAAAAACATGCCAGGCCCCTCCCTATCTTGTTTGTAGATTGTTAGCGTTGCAGGGCTGTCCATAGTTGTGATTGCCTGATCGCCGCTTCCGGCAATGGTCTTCTTTGATCTCATGGTATCCACATGATAGCTGATGGCTGAGGATGGGTTTAGGTGTATGACCGCTTAACCCATGCTGCCGCTTGCATAATAATAATGCAAACTGCTGTCCCCATATATAAGAAGTCTGCCGTACGATTGATATGAGCCGAGCAGAACAGGAGCCGTTAGCCTTGTGCAAGCGACACTGTGTGCACGTCTCCTTAACCTGAGGCAGCGCGAACTGCAAAGAAAACAGATCAATGTGTGCCGAAAGGTGATGAGCCAAACCTGTTGGACCGCTAAAACAGCTCTATCGAGATGGATGTTAAGGTTTATTTATAAGGGCTTTCAGTCTCTTCTCATGTCCGTGCTTCTCACTTGCTGCCGTGCTACAGCAGCGTCAATGCGCCTCGCTCCTGCATGAGGGGGAAGGGGGGGGAGGAAGGATGTCTTGACAAAGAAGCAGTGGATCGGCCTTGGACGCTTCCAGGGGCTAATGGACAATTACAGTGCTTCCAGGACCCTCTGACCCCAACCCCAAGCCTCAACCCTGAAGCAACAACAAAGTACCCATCTGCTGATTCGGTCAATGCAAGTAGATGCTGAATGATACCCTTCCAGGTTAATAAAGCCAATCATGTAATGTACTAGCAGCTTCTTTCAGTGCTCAGGGATCACAGTGGCAAGGCTTCAATGCGCCTGATCAGACACAACGACAAATCACAGTTGTCAAACCTCCTCCGAGTGTTTGCAATTCCCTCGACTGGGAGGACAATATGATCAAATGATATCACCGGTCTGTAGTCAGGTCTCAGCGCTCAGTTCCAAAACGTATAGGTCATGAAATACTGTATCCACCGTCCTGCCTTGGTCACACAACCGTGATCGTCTTGATTCAGCCCCCTCCCTCACAAGAACATGCCGCTCCCAACTTACCGGAGGCAGCAAGGCCTTGGTCACTCAGCGTTTCTGCTCGCTTCAATCCCCCAACCCTTCCTGCAATCCCCCTTCGCTCCTCCAACAGCTGCGCCTTGGCCTCCGGCAGCAATTTCGCAAAGCCTCGGGGTGCCAGCACTCGCAGACCTGGCCGGTTTGGGGTGGTCCAACGGGGAGGGCCCCTTGGTGGCCATCGGCCGTCCTGGTTCCCTAGTTGGATCCCAGGTCGTTGAAATTCCCCAGTAGCACACCACGGCGGCAGTGGGCACTGCACCTGGCAATGGCCATCTAAGCAAAGAGACACGTATGCAAGCCAGCAAATACACAAGCACCCAATGCGCAAACCCACAACCACATAGCAAGAAGAAAAGACATCCATAACTAAGAGACGATCAAACAAGCAACCAAACGAAGAAACAAGCAAACAAGCGCGCACACACACACACACTCAACTCACTAACGCACAATCACACAACAGCGTAGACCTTGACACTGACACAAACATTGACCCGGAAGAATACATGTATACAAACGAAAACACTGACGCAGCCACTACTGACGGACCTGCACAAAACACATCTAAACACATAAACACACACACACACACAAATACAAAATACCAAACACTGACACAGCGGCAAACACTCACACAAACACAGTCACACACACACACACAAACAATCCAGCCTCTTTCTTCCACCTCGTCCAAGGGTCCTGCAACGAGGGGCACGTTCGCAGGCGCCAAAGGAGAAGTCTCCTGAAACCTCGCAGCGCTGGCCCCTTCCAAAGCAAGCACTCGGGTCACTCGAGAGAATGCCATCAACTCAACACAGTAGAAGAGCCTGGCGGAACAGTGGCCGACTGTGTGATTGTAGTTCTGAGATGCCCTTGCTGCTGAATGGCACGTGAGGACATAGATCGTTTTCGAATAGGGCATTCAACATAAACTTCCAAGTAGAACTTCACAAGTAGAATTTGAAAGCCAGAGCTTCAACGATGAGGACTTGTTCCCCTCACCAGCCGAAACGGCCCCGGACCAAGCTGCCGAAAGGTCAACCACTTCGGCCGAGAGATGGTCGCCACCTGGGCTTGAGGTGAATTGCGGTATCACTGAGATTCCCCGTGGACGACAACTTATCAAGATCTTATCAAGGATACAGCAACTCAGCCAGCAATCAGCCAGGAACCGCTTGCAGGACATGTCTATTGTTGCTGGCTGCTTTACAGCTCCTCTGATAAAGGAACCTGTTGGACATTCAGCTTTAGAACCACATACGAGATTACTATATATAGTTGACCAAATAAACCCACACCTTCTTAGTTGCAAGGAACGGATGCCTGGTTGTCATGCATTTTCTAGCATCTTCATAAAAGGGCAATCCTGCTTCCCAGCCTCTTTTGGCGAACCGTTTGTTTACCGCCCAACACATAAATGTGTACGATGCCTGCATGTGCAGCCGCAAGAAGTACACATACTCTACTCCCACACTCGCACACACTTATATATAATATATATATATAAATGTGTATGGTTGTAGATGTAGACCATATATTATTGCTTCGGTGTGCATTGACATCCTTTGCTGGACACATTTGCCAGCGCAATTAGCGACCTCAGTCTAGATTGGACTGAAAAGAGGAATTGATTCGGGCTTTGATGAAACAGATACTAGAATCTAAAAACAGAGGTGAATTTGAATTTCGATTTTAAAGCAGAATTGAAGACATGGCTTGGAGACCCTTTTCTCTTGGTCCGCTGAATGATCTCCGGGGGCACGCACAAACCTTTACATGTCTGCACCCCCTGTGCATCGAAGGCCCAACTGGCCTGAGGGGCATCTCACCCCTAAAAGAACAAGGCCTTGTGACCTTTGTTGTCACTGGCCTCGAATCCCATTCGGGTCAAATGGCCTCTCATGATGCCACCCGACAGGACCTTCGTCACCACGTCCGCATCGTTCACCGCTCCAGGCGTCTTCTCCACCCTGAGCGCTTTCTCCGCCACCCGGTCCTGCAGCCACAAGTACCGGGCTTGCACATGCCGCGTCTTCCCGACGCCTCTCCGCTCCGTCATGGCTTTCGCCGCGGAGCTATCCACCAGCATCTTCACCACCGGCACCTTCTCACCCATGTAGAAGGCCATCACGTTCCTCACGAACTCGGCCAAAGTGGCCGTCCGACACATTCCATAGTACTCGCTCTCGCAGCTGCTCAGCGCAACGATCTTCTGGGTCACACCGCGCACCATGAGGGTGTGGCCACCGTTCTTGATCACCGCCCCCGTCACCGACTTCCGTGTCAACGGATCACCAGCCCAATCACTGTCCGACCAAGCTCGGACCTCCATTTCTCTCATAGGCTGCTGCTTGAAGATCTTCTTGAGGTAGGGGACCTTCACCAAGTACCTCGCCACGCGCTTCAGCCGCTGCATGTCACCTTGCTTCGGCGACCTCATTGCCGAACTCAGCACCTTTACCGCATGCCCCAAATCAGGGCGGTCCTGGCTCAGATAAGCCAGGCGCATCACCATGCTCCTATAGTCCACCGCCTGCTCGGCATCCAGCTCTGGCAGGCGCTCCTCAGCAACTCTCTCGGCGTCCCGCATCTTCTCCTCCGGGATGTCCACGCCCTTGGTCTTCTCATTGAACCCGAAGTAGCGCATCACTATCTCCGCGTGCCTTGCATCCGCCTCCAACTCCAATTTCCACCTCGCCGCATCATCCAGCTTGAAGCGGATCTTCCTGTTCAAGAAGAACATCTCCTTGTCATCTTCCGCGCCCCGGCCAAGCATGGCCTCCAGCCTTGCCGTGTAGCGCGTGTTCAGCACGCCGTCCAACCACTGCAAGTTGGCCCCGTTGCCCTTCACCAAGAAGTCGTCCCCGTGGACCAGGCCAATCAACCTTCTCTCCGCTATCTTGAAGATTGCGGGGCACAGTGCACAAAACTCTGCACCATGCTCCTTCAACCAGCCGATGTAGTCGCCCTGGAACACCTTGCTAGCATCTTGCGTCCCATACATGGACCTGCGAAGTAGTCCCACCATAGGCTCCGGACTCTCTTCACCATCATCTCCGCATTGGTCCTCCTCCGGCAACTCCACGTACAGTTCTCTTTCCGCACGTCCCATGAAGTGTGCTCGGCTGATGTCCCAGCAAGCCACCTTGGCGTCCGGCTCCTCTGGGTTCTCCGTCATGAACAGGCTCAGGAGCAGGTTCACCGCCTCCAGCGGCGGGGTCGCCGCGAACGTTTCCTCCGCCCGAAGTCGATCTTCAGGCCTTTTTGCCTTTCGCACTTCTTTCGCCACCAATCTGCTCCTTACCTTCACCTGGGTCGCGTCTCCCTTGTTAATATCCAGCCACTTCAACTGCAAGGGCTTCATGCCCTTCTCTTTGCAGATCCTCCTTGGGACCTTCACGTAGACGCCCTCCTTGTGGAGCCAGCCCAGCTCCTCTTTTCGCGCCGCCTTCACCAGGTGCGCCGGCAACTCCGTACCGGTCACATCATCCACAAACTGGCCGAACTCCTCCTTGTAGAGCTCTTCCTGCTCGACGTACTCATCCGGTGTCGGGCCTGACAGCTGCTCCTCCACCGCACTGATCTCTCCCCTCTCTCGTAGCTCTTTCCTCAGGCCACGTAGAATTGCCTCCACCAGCTCCTTGGGGTAGACCTGCGCAGCCTTAGCTCGTCCACCTCCCACCAGATGAACATGCCGATGCACTTCTCGACCTTGTAGGACATTCTCACACACGCCCTCCAGCTCTTCTGCGATCCTCCTCGAGTTCGTCAGCCACAAAGTCTCCTTTCTCACATGCAGGATTTCCCCTTCTCGGTCCTCCATCTTCATGCCCCAACGGCACATCGGACTCTGAACCAAGTACGTGTCGTCTCGATTCACCTCCTCTTCCACTTCCGGCATCTTCCATGACGTGGACGGTTTCGGGCGCTCATGGAGATAAAAGGCACCCTGCTCCCGCTGTTGTTTGCAGCACTTCATCGCGGTTCTCATCCTCGCCTTTCCAAGCTCCTCCTCCTCTTGCACCACGCCCGGGTCCCTCTTGCCATTGGACACGTTCCTCAGTGGGCTAAACGTAGTGCACGGCGGTGAGCTCGTCAGGAGCCACGGCTCCTCAACCTGAATCATCTCCAGCACCTCCTTCTGATCTTCTGGCCTGTCGAGGTTCCACCTCTCTGACCCATCTGGCTTCATCTCCTCTAGGTCCACCGCCGCTCCGTCACGCATGCCGAACCGCTTCAGCTCCTTTGTCACACGCTGAGGTGAAAACACCTCCAGCACATCCAACGCACCTAGGCTAGCCACTATGCTCGCAGCCTCCTTGCTCCCGGCCTCTGCCAGGATCTCCTCTGCCTCCATCCTTCTCGAGCCTGCCTGGCCGCTCGCATCCTCTTCCATATCTCGCAAGACATCTTCGATGTCCCTTGCTCCTTGCTCTCCTCCTTTCCGCTTTGGCGATGCTTCCCCGGCATCGGGGCCCCGGCTTGAACTTGACGGCTCAGCCTCAGCCCTTGCCTCATCGTTCGCTTCCTCTTCCGCTGCTCTCTTCTTCGCCCTTCTCGCAATTTCTCTCTCGTCCTCATCTTTCTGCTTCTTCATCTTCTCCTCATCCTTCTTCACATCCTCTGCAATTCTCCTCTTCATCCTCACTCTGCACTCCTCTGAGTGGCTCGCCTGAACCAGCGCGCCACCCGTGTTGATTGTGTGACACCCTTGGCATCCTGGAGTGCTCCCATACTTCTGCATCATCGTTCTCCTCACCGGCCACGCCCGGCCCTTTGCCGAGTGACCTTCTGCCTCTGGGGCTTCTCCCCCCTGATGCTCCTCTGGGCGCTCAACCGGGACCTCTCCTCCAGGTCCGGGAGCTGGGGCCACGAGGACCACCGGGGGCAGCCTCTGATCCTCACCTTCTTTCTGCTGTTGCTGCTGCCGCTCCTCCGGCTGCGGGTTGACATACTTCTTGATGTCCCAGGGCACACCACGTAATCCAGGCTCCAGCCTTGACCACCTCTGATCCTCAGGCACCGTGTGGAAGCCCGTGCCAACCACCACTCCGGCATCCGTCATGGCCAAGATCGACCCAAACCTGTTGTGGGTGCCCAGGTACCTCCCGCTAACCATCCTTGACCAATCTCCTCTCTTTCCGCCTCCAGCAGGTTTGACCATGATCTTTTCCCCGAACTCCGGCATGGCCTTCACCCATCTTTTGCCTGTCCGTCTCTCCTCTGGCGTCCTCCCATCTGCTCCGACCTTGAACCTGCCATGCTGCTCTGCAGAGTACCTCGGGGCCCAATAAGTGATAGGATGCCCTTCAGGAACTCCACCGTCCAACTTCTTGTCCAAGGCCAGGAGATTGGCTTTGCACCTCCATTTGATCTCTTTGACAGCCGCCTCCGCTTCTCCGTTCGACCGTGAATCTCCGGCCGGCGACTCCTCTGGCACCGCCTTCTTCAATCCTCTCGCCTTCTTCGCTGCCTCCATCTTCATCTTCACCAAGCTCCTTTCGCCATCGCTTTTGAGGACCACCTCCTTGTAGCCCAAGCTTTCCAGGAACCTGGTCAACATCTTCTGGGCCGTCGCATCCACGAGCCCCTTTCTTTCCATGGAGGTTGCCGTCATCAGCCCGGTCTTCCGGTCCCGAGCTACAATGTTCGGCTTCGCACCTTCGGCCTCGCCCATGTAGAAGTAGTCGAGGCTCACCGTGGACATGTCGGGATTCTCATCACCATGGTCCACCTTCACGTGCTTCTGGACAAGGCCTGCTGCTTTGACGCACATCTCGCACCACCTCCTGTAGACCGCATGGCCGCTCGCCTCGTGCTCCTTTCTCTCACGCTCGCTTGGCTGCGGCGGCACCCAGCCCGGGTGAGCAGGTCTGGCCTCCACCAACTCCTCAGGACCTTCTTGCTGAGCTCCGATCTCATCCTCCAGAGCCCATACCGTGTTGCGCTCCTCGTCAATTCTCGCTGCCTTGGCTTTGGGCTTGCTCTTCATCAATCCGCTCGCCGAGGCCTGTATCTCCAGTTCCGCCACCTGCTCATCCGCGCTCTCTGGGTCGGGCATCTCCAGGTAGAAGTTGTAGACGCCGTTCTCCTCCACCACCGGGATCATGCCCTTGTCACCGTACAGCTCCAGCGCCTTCTCGTAGGCCTCCTCCAGCGTCTTATAGACAGGATGCTCCACCGGCATGATAGTTCCTCCGCCTTTCCACAGCCAAGTGCTGCGCCCTTTTCCGTGCAACCTGCCCGCGCTGATCAGGACCTTGCGCACGTCCGTCGCATTCCCATTCACCATGCGCTTCACGCCGTTCATGTCATAGCCGCCAATCTTCACCGGGCCGTAGTTGTTGATCAGCTCACCCGAGGCGGTCTTGAACGTTCCTTTTCCACCTCCAGTTCCTTCGCGCTTGTACCTCTTCGGGATAGCTGTCACCGAAGCGCCAGTGTCGAAGTTGCACTTCAGCAGGTTGATCTCGCCGCCAAGCTCTCGTCGTTTGATAGCCACCCTTTTCGCAAACGAGGTCGTTGTAGACACCCTCGCCGTTGACGACAGCGCGCAAAGGTCCAGCCCGTTCGCTTCGCCTTCCGGCTCATCTCCCGGCTGCTCCAACGATGCCGCTTCCCGCTTGCCGCCTTTGCCACCTTTCGGACTTGTAGGCGCCGACGATGATGAAGCTCCACCACCCTTCGCCCAGCAATCCTTCTTCATGTGGCCCTTCTTCCCGCAGTTGTTGCAGATGCCATCAAAGTTGCCCTTGCCGGCGCTCTGGCTGTTGCTTCGGGACTTCGCGCCTCCTCCTTTTGATCCCTGCTGCGGCTTCGACCAGCAGTCCTTCTTCTTATGGCCTTTCTTGCCACAGTTGTCGCAGTTGCCCTCGAACTTGGCCTTGCCTCCTTTTCCACCTCCTTTCTTGCCCTTCACGAGTGAGGCCAAATTGCCATTGACCGCCCGGACCAGGGAGTCCACATCCATGGGAGCCACGTCACCTGCTGAGGACTTGCTGAAGTCCTTCGAGATTGTCAGCTTGCTCCCCGTCTTCGCCTCCATATAGGTCACCACTTCCTGCTCCATCTCCTCAAAGGTCCGGAACCTCGTGTAGTTCAGCATGAGGTGCTGCTCCATCTCCTTTGGAACTAATTTCTCCAAAGCGTTCATCGCCAGACTGTCTTGCAACACCTCACGCTTCCCGAACTGATCCTTCTTGCGGTCGTATCTGTTTCTCAATGCCTTCCAACGTTCTAAGGCATTGCCGAGGTTCTCGTATGAAGATCTTTCTGGGCTCGTCAATGCTTGAAGCATTATGCGCTTGCGCCCTCCGGTGCTCGGGTCGAACTTCCTGTGCAGGGCCCTCCAAGCTTCCAATCCAGCACCCTTCGGCGCGTTCTCCACCAGGTCGAAGACCGCCCCCTCCGTGGTCGCCCTGAGGATGGTGTAGACCTGTTGGTTCATCTCATCAACCTCATCCCATTGATCCAGAAGATCTGCTCCTGCCCCGAACTGGTTGTCGATGTCCATCTGCGCGATGGGGTTCTCCTGCTCAGCAGCCCATTCCAGCACCTCACGGGATTTGCCGCCGATCACGCCTGCCACGTAGTCCTCCAGCTTCAAGGCCCAGACCCGGAATCGATCTTCGGCTCCTTCTCCGAGCACCTGAGGCTTTCCAAGGCCCTTCTGATCTATCAGGCCTCCACCTCCTCTTTTGCTCATCTTCTCCAGGACTTCCGGCAACCGGCTCAATGCTTGCAGCACTTCCGCCGAGCCCCCTGATCCTCCGCCGGCTCCAGCCGTCTGCTGCTCTGCCGCTTGCACCCGATCACGGAGTCCCGCATTCTCCTGAGCCAACTGCGCCATCTGCTGCTGCATCTGCTGCACCACCGCCGTGAGCTCCTGTATCGTCGCCATTGCCCTCTTCAAGGATCAAGCCGACCAACACAAAGAAGCCCCCCTCGTAGGTGAAGATGCCCACCAGCAAGGCCAGGATCCACCTCCAGTGGCTCCACCGCCAAACGGGCTTGCCTTGCTGCCGCAGCTCCTCAAACCTCTGCAGCTGCCGAGCGTCCTCCGACCTCGACTCGGCCGCTCCCCTCTGTGGCCCAGCTGGCCGCTCTCGGGGAACCCCGATCCTCCTCCTGTAGGGCTTGTCCTTGGCCGCGGACTTGCCCCTGGTCGTGCCCGAGAGCTCCGCTACCATGAAGACATGGCTTGGAGACCCTTTTCTCTTGGTCCGCTGAATGATCTCCGGGGGCACGCACAAACCTTTACATGTCTGCAAGAATTCAACAGCCGGCTTTAAATTCTTGACTTAGGCCTCACGAGGTTCCTTAGAAGGATCCTTTCATGCAAGGCTCCTTATAAAGCTCCTTACAAGGCTCATTGTAAAGCTCCTTTAAGGCTCCTTCTAAGGCTCCGTACAAAGCTCCTGATAAAGCTGCTTGTCAAGTTGCTTATGGAGCGTCTTATGAAGCTTGATAAAGCTCCTTAAAAGATCCTTTCAAGTCTCCTTCTACAAAATAGGATGTTGACTAACATGTTGAACATAATGATGAACAAATCAATAGAATGTCAATTCACAGCGATGATTTAAAGAGGAAATCCTGTCCAAACATATTCTCATGTTCATACTTTGTTCTAGTCGAACTTAACAGGGAAATAAATTGACCAAGTTTCAATTTTAATGCAGAATGAAAATATGTTTCCTTTTCCAAAAGGAATTCGATTAAGTATAACTAGAATCTGAGTAGACGCTAGAAACGCTATAATCTTGCAGAAGGAGTGATTCAAATTTTTGGAATGGAATAGAGTTGAATTAAGTTTGCAGGTGGGACGCAAAAGACAGGAATGATATGCAATCACTGCAGGTGGGACATCTATCAAGAAACATGTGCTTTGAATTCGCAAATGGGACAGAACACAAACAGGGGAAAGGTAGATCACGGAAAGGGCGGGGGGCAGCACATATATTATATAGACATATACATGTGTATACATAAGGCCTCACATATATGGCCATGGGTCACAACCTATGCCTGCATTTTGGGGCGGATGAACACTCATGTACTACCTATTTTTAGGTTCACGAGGGGTACAGGGTGTTGACCCACAGCCATACATATAATATATAATATATTTGCATTATCCATATGACACATGCCAATCTCTCCATCTGTTGACGCGCCTACCCCCGCCCACGCCTCTTTGGGCCTCCGGGCCACCCGCCCGGCCGTGGCGGCCGCGAAGCCCGGAGTCACGTGGACCTCCAGCTCGAAGGGGCACCGCCCCTGGCGAGGGTGAACTCCTCATGCATTTGCGTTTTGTCCCCAGTTGTTTTGTTGTTACATATGTCCAGTAGTGATAGATTCCCTTTAAAACCAAGAGGGGAAATAAAAAATACTCTTAAGCACATGGAAAAGGAAAGAGCTCTCAGCTTCCCTCGTTGTTTGGCGGTTTGGAGCCTGGCGGTTTGGTATTGTAAGGACAGTGTCCCATTTGCCCTGTACAAGAACCATTCAAATCCCCACCAATCCACCAACTCAGGGCTACCTGAAACTCATTCTACTTTTCTTTGTTTTTAAACACGTCTGAACAGGTGATGTTGAAAACACAAGGGGAGATCTGGGGAACCCTGGGACATCCCAACAAAACTTGCCCCCCCTCCCTGAATGATTGCATTTCCCAAAGGGGGCAAACACACAACCACACACAAACACACAAAGGGAGGGTTCGAAGCAATGGCTGAGACCCCAACCCACCAACAACAATGGGTGAACTTTGGAAATAACAAAAACACAACAACAAACCCACAAACGGTACCCTCACAAGTTTCCTTTCAAACAATGCCGATTGACATTCAAATCTCTGGAAAGCATTGTCACATGTGAGTGACGGACAATACTATTTACAAATGGTTACTTGGATAAAAACTTGGGTCTTCTCTTCTCATTCTATGGACCACTGACTTCCTGTCCGTTGCTCATGTCTTGCACGCACAGCCTGGCACTGGAAAGGGTGATGGTTTTTTTGGCTCGTGCATCTGGATGTACCCCCCCAAATTGGGGGCCGCTTGGTGTCTCATGGAAACCTGAAGCAAACCATTGCCATGCCTTCCCTGAGAGCCAGGGAACTCCATGGGAACTGGCCCCATTGAGCGACTCCGGCCAGCTTTTCGCGAGCAACGAAGACGCGCAGACGCGCCTGTCCGCTGAGTGTTGGGAACCAGCAGCAGTCGGGCATGTGGCCTGCCAGGATGGGTCAGGCCCATGGGTAATGTGCCATTCCTCGAAAAAGCTGCCAAGAAAAGTGAAAGTGTCTTCCAACTCAGGGACCCCGCCGTGTAGATTTGCTTGACACATGTCCCCCGCCCATTGTAGGAGACATCCATCTTCCAGAGTGAAGGGGTTGTCTCAGTGCCCAACAGGCAAGAGTCCAACTCTTCAGTCGCTTCTCTTGTTTCTATCTAGCTCCCTCGGCTTCGTCTCAGCATTTCCTTAAACCCGGCTCAAAGGCCGGGGCACCTGAAATTGAAACCACCTTCGCGAAACCGCATGAGGATATGAGCCACTCAGCTGCCTGCAACGAAGAACTCCATGTCGGCGCTGGTCTCAAATTGCAACCTGCCGCCGATCCCGTCGCTGAAGCCGCCTGGGTGTGCCGGCGCGAAAACCAGGGAATGCCGCTTGACCTCCTTTTAGGCAACAAAAACGACCCTCTAAAGAGGGCTTCTATATGCTTTTGGGGGAGTGTGCACAAGAAAAGTGCAAAGGCAAATCCTGATTGGCCGAGTTGGCCTCCCAAAGTGGACCCAAACAACTCCAATTGGGCAACCCCCAAACCCACAGGCTTCTAGTTCTACGAACCTGGCTGCGAGGCGGCGAGGCGTGCAGAAGCCTCATACCTCTTCCCCAGCAGAAAAGAAGCCCACGCCCGCTGCACCGTCATTGGATTGCAGCCTCCCAGAGTTGCAGTAAGCTAGGCACTAGGAGGCAACCGCCAACGAAAAACCCTCCCAGCCGTGTGCCCTGCCTGCATCGCGAGGATGCACAGGCAGCACTATGAAATGGTTGCAGGACATCTCTGGCCGGAGCCAATGACCTGAACTGCACTGAAGATCCCAAAGTGAAAGGGCATGGACCAATCGACCTGATGCCACCGAAACGCCCTGCCGGCGTTTCGGTGGCTTTCGGAGAATGAAAAGGATGCTCCAATCAAACAGGCTTGGCGTCTAGCATGCTTTTGCATCCAGAAGCAACCCACCAGAGGTCATGTCTTGAACCACCTTGGTAACCTGAATCGGTTGGGCCTGACTTTGGTGAGTAGGGTGCCAAAAATCGACACCTTTGCGGAGGGGGGGGGGGGGCGGGTCGTATGGTTTCGAAGCAGTGGTAAACCAACCATCTGTGGGCCCCAGCCGGTGGGTGTCCATATCATTGCTCTCCATAGGGAGGCCCCACCCCACCAACAAAAACGGCTGAATTTCCTTTAGTCCCCCCTTTAAACCAACCCCCACACAGCACCCTCAAAAGCTTCATTTGAAATTTGAAACAACAACATGGGTGATTTTCCATGCCTCCCTCTCCCTCCCCCCCAGGGAAAAAAAATAGGATTATTATTTCCACCCCCCCCAGAAAAAAATGATTATTTCCCCCCCCCCCCTCCCAGAAAAAGAAAAGAACAAACAAAGACAACGGCCGATTGTCCCTAAGCCACGCCCTCCCTGCGCTGCGCATTCGATTGCTCCTCCGAGCTGCTGTCCTGGCTCCAGGCCACCGCCAGCTCCAGCGCGCTCCTCGGGTTAGGGCGATCCCCTGGAAGGCGATCCCAAGACAAGGAAGCGCATGCTGAATCTGCTCACCGAATCTGACCAGGATTCTTTGTCCTGAAGCTGTTTATCCTTGCAAAGACAAGGAAGATAATTTATGTTTTTTGGGCCATAGAAACCAAAGAACACCAAACCAACTTCTGGGGGGTTTGGCGTGCACGCAGCACCCGGTTTTTACGGTTGGCTTCTGCTTGTACTCCTCTGCACCTAGCCAATAAGTCAAGGGGAAAGCTCACCTGGCTGAGTTGCGTGCTGCATTTACGGCTGAAACGAGCTCAAGTCGAGAACTGTGTGGATCCGAACATATACCACAAACACGGGGTGGTACCAAAGATAGGGCCATGCCAACATGTGGCGGCCATTGCTACTATGCTTTTGTAGATCACAAAAGCAAATGGAACTCATGCGCTCTTTCAAATAAGCTCGGCGTGCCGGGAGTGGCCATGAGGCAATCGTTTGAACATTGCTGGCAAACGCACCAGACATTGTGCCAACCAAGAATCGACGATCCATGCTTCTCTCTGCTTCGAGCAGTCAGATCGTAAAGTGCTTCCATAGCACGCCCATCAAGTATCATCACCTCGGGCTTCAAACAAGCACTGCTCATCACTCCGTTAACCTGCACTCAAACGGTTTAAACACTTTAGCATTCAAAACTATAAATTCAATTGCCATGCCCTGAGAATGGATGATCTTATGCAAGTTTGCAAGCTTTCAAAGGCAAACCGGAAAGTCTTGGCCAGCCGAGGCACATTCTTGTCTCGGTCTACGACAAGTCTGTCGTCGCCTATCAAGGTAGCGTCCACTTTGTTCAACGAACGAACGCCAGGATTTGCTTTGTTCCGAAACCATCTTAGAGCCAACCTCAAGGCACTCAAAGAACACAACGTCCATGTCCACAGCAGCAAGCGTGTGTTGCTTCTCGAAAGGGGTCCAAGGGTATAACCGCTCTTTGAGAACGCTTTAAAGGAGTCTCCAAGCAGATTACAACAGCACAAAGCAAAACTGTCACCCGTGGGGAAGACACTCAACCAAGACTGATGCGTTTCGAGGGGTGCTGTTGGGAAGTCCCGGCAAAGCTGCGTGGCCCAGTGCATTGAGGCCATGGGGCTCTTCTTTTTCTTAGTAAACCGCCTGCACAAAACATGGGCAACATGGGGGCCTACCCCTGGCAAACCGTTCTTGGAAGCTCTCTCGGGGTTCTACTTCTGCTTTCTGAATGATCTTTTGACCAGTTGGGTCTGTGTTTTTGCGGGTACCCTTTTGGGGGTTAGTTCAAAGGGAAACCAACTATTGTGACGGACTCACACTTAGAAACAGGTTTGGTTTCCAAAATTCCCGTTCCACAGGAAGGAAACAAATTCGGTCCGTTCAAAGTGTGAGTCCGTCACAATATATACTTGTTGGGGCCGTCTCCCCTTGGCTTTTAAGACACGGCCATTTGAATGCCATGCCCTAGATTCTCACGCCATCAGCACCACTCGCGGGCGTGGCAACCTTTCACGCCATTTAGGAAAGGACAGCACCAAATGGCGCCCCATCTAAGCACAAACCACCTCAAATAGCCATGAATAGAAGTGTCCTTTTGGTAAAATAGATGGGGTTCCCTGCTAAATGGTTTATATCATCACTCTAAACCAGTAGAACCCTTCTATTTCCAGCCAAACTAAGCGATCAAAAATTGACACCTATGCCCGGCCTTCGTGCTCGCTCTCTGACTCCGCCTCTGTGGTGGGACTCTCTGATCCCGTGTGATGTTGCGCTTTCGGGACACGCCGCGCCTTGCGGTGGAAAGGCCAAATTGTGGAGAGACGCGGGTGAAATCACTTAGGTTCGAACAGTCCGTTGGCTTGTTGAAACCACAAATCTTTCAAACTGCGGGGTTTGGTCAATCTGGTGCTGGTGGTTGGTGCAACCTGAACGATTCTCTTGCTGCCATTTGCTTCAGCCCCGGGAACAAAAACAACAGTAGTGATAGATTCCCTTTAAAACCAACACGGGAAAATAACAATATATATTCCTAAGCAAACGGAAGCTTAGGCCATCCCTTTGAAACCAAACGTGCCTCTTGCGGCGCTCGGTCACCTCGATTCCGCAGGGCTAGCCACGAGGAGTGGCGGCGTGGCGGTAAGGTCTCCTGGGCGAGCCATGGACCCATGAAACTGTTCTACTCAAATGGCTATGGTATAGACGTATGATGTCTTTTTTGGCTGAAACTTCAAGTTGGATTCAGCTGCGGAAACCATCTTGAACGATCACAAGAGTCAGAGTCTGCAGCTTGCACGAGGGGGACGGACACCCATCCACCTGCGGCAATGGGGGTGTGAAGCCAAAAGGGCACAAAAGGAAGCCATGAAAGCCATAAGCTACTTGGAGGGTGGTCAACTGGTTTGGCACATTCCCAATGCACTGCGGTCACACCTGTTGCGAGGGATTGTCATATTTTTCTCGGATTTCTTCATGGTTGCAGCTCTTTGCAGGGGTGATAAGTATCTCCGAGCAAGCACGTATGCCAAGCGTCTGCACACATGGTTGTCAATACTAACGCCGCTTTCGAGAGCAGAGTTTTGTCGTCGCTTGGGGCTCCTCTTTGGAGGGATTTCCCCAAAGAGATCATTGTGTCAAAGTCTTGCATGACCACGAAAAAAAATCAACGAATAAGGCAGCAAGAAACAAGCCTTCTCCCTGCCTCCGGAATAGTTTGTTGAGCACTCCGGGGTACAACATGATGCAACCAAAAAACATACACAAGGTGTGCCTCTTATTCAGGGGAAACACAACACCTTCCTCGTACGGGGTACTAACAAGGATTTGTCCATTTTTGGGCTGGCAACCCGCAAACAAGAATCGAGTTTCTTCATCTGAGTCTACCATAACACATTGGCCCACTGCTTCTTAGAGTCGTTTCGCTTCCAGCTGCTGCGGAAACTGATCCTGGCTGCGAGGATGTATCAAGAGCTTTCTTCAGCAGGAATGGGGCATGGCAATGTTATCTGGCTCTACAGGACAAGTCACTTGTCAAAAATGTATGTATATGTACGTGTACGAATGTTCATTTATGTATATGTGTTTGCTTGTGTATGTGTGTATGTGTGTATGTGTGTGTGTGTGTCTGTGTGTGCGCGTGTGTATGAGTGGTTGTTATTGTTTATGTGTACGTATGCTTATGTATGCGTATGTGTGTATATGTACGTGTACGTGTGTGTATGTATGTGCATGTATGTGTATGTGTGTCTCTGTGTGTGTATGTATGTGTATATATGCATGTGCATGTATTCTGCATGTGTGTATAAGCTACGGCAGTTATTAGCTACATGGTTGAGTGGTCTGGTGTTCCCACATCGTTCTCCAACCATGAACCCGTTTGGACTCATTGACATCGGTTCCAACGGGGGAAGTGTTGGTTCATCTCAACCACCTATGCGTCATGGCTCTACCTCGTTTTGGGGGGGTGTTCAGTGTGAATGTTACCTAACGTCTCTCTGCCCGGCCTGTATCGCAGACTCTGAAAATGAAAACAGTCGCTCATTGTCGCTCATGTGTAGAATATGCTCATGCATATTTGTGTGTTTGCGTGTGTGTATACATTTGTATATGTGTGCGCGCTTTTGCGTGTAGGTGTGTGTGTGTGCGCGTGTGTGTGTGTGTTGTGTGTTGTGTGTTGTGTGTTGTGTGTGGTGTGCGGTGTGGCGTGTGTTGTGTGTTGTGTGTGTGTGTGTGTGTGTGTTTTTGAATGTAGGTGTGTATATTTGTTCATATGTAGGTGCGTGTGCCTTTGCGCGTGCACACGCGTATATATATATATATATATGTTGTGTGTGTTTGTTTATGCGTTTGTGTTTGCGCATGTGTATCTATATGTGTATGTCCGCCGACATTGCGGAGACACTTAAGAGAGGATACAGGATGGGACCCGCCCCCAACCCCCCCCCCCCCGCCCAACGTCTGACACGTAGGGTTCACCTGTCGGAGGGCACGTACCGCGTGGTAGTTTGATGACGTTCCACTCAACGCAGTCTTCGGGGAGCCGGTGTCGCAAAACAGGGATCCTAGGCTCGAATCCTCCTGCTGGCTCTTTGCTGGTTTGGGTTTCCTGCCTCCTTTTGCCGAACATCTGGAAAAACTCTGTGTTTGTTGACATCCTTTTTGCGAAAACGCTGGGAAAAACCGTGTTTTTTGTGGGAATACTGGGGAGCAAAGGGGAAATGCAAAGAAGTGCAAGGAAATGAGGGGAGGAAATAAGAAGTCGACATGACAGGAAAGCAAGGGGAAATGAAAGGGAAACAAAGGGGAACTGAAAGGGACATGAAAGGGACAGAAATGAAAACAAGGGGAGTGCAGGGGGAATCAAAGGGAAACAAAGGACAAGGAAACCAATCGACACGACAGGAGATGTAGGCAAATGACTGGCAACGAAAGGACGGGACATACATGGAAAATGAAGCGGACATACTGAGACAATGACAGGGACATGAAGGGGGAGTTGAAAGGAATGGAAGGAACATGACGAGGACATCATGGGAAATGGCAAGACATGAAAAGGACCTGAAGGGGAAATCAAGGGGAAAGCCAATAGTAACAAGACAGTTCAGGGTCATGAAGGGGCAGTGCACGCAAATCGAGGCAACTCAGGGGGGACACGAGAAAGAGAGAGAGAGAGAGAGACAGAAAGACAGAGAGAGACAGAGAGACAGAGAGAGAGAGAGAGAGACAGAGACTAGGTTCTCCAGTAGAGAGATTAGAATAAGGGTACCCTTTTTTTCTGTAGAGAGGCGTGGACAGGAAGGAGACAGGGAGACAGAAAGAGAAAGAAAAACAAAGAGAGGGAGATTGAGACAGAGAGAGGGAATTTGAGGAGAGAGAGGCTTGGGGGGATGGGAGGATGGGGAGCAGAGGGAGGGAAAGAGGACGACGGGGGAGGAGACAAGAGAGAGAGGAAGAAGGAGAAAAGGGAGAGGACAATGTCGGCGGACTGAGCCGGAGGCTCTAAAGTTTTTTGTGCATGTGCTTGTGTTTGTGTCTGCATGTAGATAGAGTAGGTACGCTTATGTGCGCACGTGTTGTGAAGTTGCTCAGAAAAGCACAGGTTCAATTGGGTTCATTGAGTCATCCTTTGTAAGCCACTGCCGCTTCAAGTGGATGGCTTGAAACGTTGGCTTCGGATCAAGCAGGGTATTCGGCCTTACTTATATCACCTGCTTACGGTACGAGACACCCGATTACACGGCTCCCTGTTGGCCCCTGAATCAGAACGCCAGAGAGGAAGCTCGGCGAACAGTGAGTGGCCCAACAGGTGAGGTTTGAACGGGCTGAGAAAGGGAATATAAGGAGCCCTGTCTCAACAAGCGAGCATGTAACACTCTTCACATTGACCTTCGCATCTATCACGGAGCCTGTGACAAGGCTTCCAGGAAACGGTCCGAATCCTCCTGTGCCCAGCCACGGAAAATAAAGCGGCCGCCTCCGCTCTTTTCGGCTTTCTGTTTGGCCATATTAAATAAAAACCGTAGAAACCCAGCCAAGCAAAGGGGACACGTGGCATCACTGGCAATATTTGTGAAGCGGCGGTCCTCTCTTTCTGGCTGTGGGGAGGCAGCTGAATACTCAGCGAGCCAGGCTCACTGCTCCTGTTGCAACCCCCCTTCGGGATTGGGGGGCTTCGTCACCGAATGGTGATGCCCCGTTCTGCGTGGCAATACAGGAAATTGCCCCCAGAACCCAATTGTCCACAACCATATCTGCGAAAACCAGTTCTCTCTGTGCAGAGTCCCGCGGGAGCCCCTTTTGGTGACCAAAGTGCTAGCAACAAGAACAGACATATCGCTTTTAGGGATCCTGTTTCGGACATACCTAAGAAATATAGAGTTTCAACAATGATAGACTAAGCTAATAGTTACACATGTAAAACATACATACTGAATTATCGGGACAATTATATGAACAAAATAAAACATACCATAAATAAGTGGCTTTTTAGAATATGAACACGCACCCCCCCCCCCCAAAGTGCTGCAACTGAGTCAACGAATCAAGCAGCTGGGCGTGTCTGGGCTTAGAGTCTTGCCTGTGGGTTCAATCAAACCACCTGCAGCATGCAAGGCTGGTCCCTCAACAGCAAGGCTTGGCACAACGCCTGCGCAGGTTCACTGCTCACTGCTCGCCCCATCCCAAGCAGATCACGCCGATGCTGCCGGAGCTCGGAAACTCCAGCTGGAAAATGCTGACGCCCTTCAGGCACCGACCTTGCAAACGCGCAAGATGCCTTCCCCGAAACAGACATCCGCACCTCATTCCCAAAACAGGATCCAAAGGATTCGGTGGCGATTTCCTCTTGCCCAAGCCATTGACTCTGTTCGCACATCCGGGATTCGCCATCCCGGAAACGAAAACCGGACATGGCTGCTTCCCTTTTGGCCTCCCGTCACTTTACCCTATTGGGTTGATGCTGAATGGGACGCCCAAAGGAAATCATGTATTTTAAGGAAACATAGATCCTTGCTCCTTTGCATTGAACAACATATAACTCCAACATCCATTGGCCGTGTTGCACACGGCCAAGAAGACCCCTCCCCTTAAGGGAAAAACGACACACTTCCCTATAATCTCCTCTAAACCAGGTAGTAGAACTCCACACAACAATGCCCCACAACAACGCCCAAGGGGGGGCTTATTGCCACCTCCCTCAGACCTGCCATGGCTATGGGAAAAAAGAAGAAGAAAAAAACGACACCCTTCTTGTTGGACACCCCAAAGAAAAGGGACACCGCGGAACACTGGCTGGGTTCCCCAAACTCCTTGAGGCTCCGGCGCGTGAAGTCCAGCTCCACGGACACTCGCTGCTGCTGCAATCCTAAGAGCTGACTGAGACTGCAGCTCCTCTGCTCATTCGGGCGCTTTGACTCAAGAAAAGCTCTGACTGAATCCAAGAGTCGCATCGGAAGCACACCAGTCAGCTAGTCAGCCGGCATTCGGCCCTCCCGTTTCTCGCGCTTTGCTCTCCCCACTGCAACTGCCAGGGCGATTGGTTCATGTTGGTTACTTCAACACGTCAACACATAGGATCTTCGTGGGGAAGCTTCGCTCCTTTTCCTTGCTTCTTTCAGAAAGACTTGCGTCTTGAGCCAAGCAAAGGAAACCGAGATGATCGGTGCTCCATCTGCCAACGCGAGATCTTGCCAGGATGCCCCAAAGTTCGAAGGAGGTCTCAACCACCGGGTGTCGCGATTTCGGGCAGGAAACCTGCATGATACTGCTGCGTTCCCACATTTGTGGGCTGGGGCAGTTGCTGTACACTGAGGGTCATACCGGTCATACCTTCACCTATCTTGAGCAACTGCCCGTTGCTGACCCCAGAGTGAATCGATGCAACGAGCTATCTCAGGCATAGTCAAGACACCCTCTTTGAGGGCTGCCTGGATCGCTGGGAATCACTTGCGCTTCCTTGGTATGGTAGGTGCAATTGAGCAGCTAAGCAGCTAAGTTGTGCAACGCTGCAACGCTTAGGCGGCGGCGGATTGCAGATCCACTCAGCAAATTCCTGGCAAAAGGGCCCCATAGTGCGCAAGCTTAGTCTGTTTGCCGCTGAAAGGAATTTAAAGGAGGCGTGCACCCAAAGTGAGCACTCAAAAGCAGCCAGGTGTTCCACAAATCCAAGGCTCCAAATTTGGAGACAACGGCGATCAACCAAGCAGCCAAGCAGCCAAGCAACCAATCAACCAAGCAACCAAGCAAGCCGCAACTCCTCGTAGTCCACTTCGCCATCCTGGTTTGTGTCCATGGCCTCAAATGGGTGTGACGGTACCCCTCAAAAGGGGATGCTAGGGAAGGCAAGCAAACCAGGATTCTTCGAGGGGTCTGTTTGGACATGCCCCAATGAATATGACATGCAGTTTCCCTCTAAGGCGGCAACGTGTTTCGTCAGGCAGCCGTGGTGGCGATTCCGGCGATTCCGTGGGAATCGAAACAGTGGGAGGGCTGGGATGGGAAGCCAGGAGGTTAAGGTTTGTCGGTTGTCGGTTGGAGCTTGACGTTCTATCAACCTTCAGCAACTGGGCTGCTTTTTTTTGCGCGCCTTGATGAGCTTCGTCAAATCCTTCTTGGTGAAGGAAGGGTTCAACACCACCTGGGTCCGCGGGCGTTCGCCGCCATTTCTAGAGCTCGCAGTACCAGGCCATAATGCTGATTGGCCAAGCAGTGTCCAGGCCATTTGCCAAGGCAGGGGTCACATTATTTCCACTGGCTACATCTAAGCGGCTCTTTTTTGGAGATTGAAAAGGTCAAAGCCTTGTGACGCTTAGGTTAACATAATATTCAACGCTTGATCGATGCCACCAGCCTGAGCTTCTTGCCAGGACTCTCTCAAGCTCGGCTTTGGAGATTGTCCCGTCCTGTGCCGAGCGAGGTGCCTTAAAGCCTTAAGGTCCTTTGGCAGCCGGGAACAAGCCCGGCTTGCTAAGCCACAATGCGGCCAATGAGATCAAATCAGAACTCAAAGCTCTGATATTTGTCATGCTATGGACAACCTGCCCCGGTGACTCTCCCACAGGCCTTTCATAAGCCAAAACGTAAGAATCCAGTCCGCAGAACGTGCCCGCTCGCTAATATGCTGATCTTGTGTCTGGAAATGACCGGGCAGGCATCAGGCAGCTAGAAGCCGTCAACACAAGTTACCGCTTCCGATTGCCGACCAGACTACGGCCAAATGGGTCAACGCATTCTTTGGTTGTCACTTGTATCAAGCACTCAGCTCACTGCCATGGCTTCTGCTTCTTCCAGTGGTAAAAAGATGTATGCCGCCTGTCACGCCCACGCCTGGTTCGTGTCCCAGCTCTCAAAGACCTGGCGACTTGGCGGTTTCAACTGGAGCCGACCGCGTCGAACAGGGCATATTCAGGTAGAGGGGTTTTGGATGTTATATATTTTGCGATTCTCAATTTGTCAAAGCAGCTCGGAAAGTCTACAGGATTGCAACAAAGCCTCAGCCACCAAATAAGAAATGTCAGCTTTTGGGTATCTGCAATCTGCTTCGAGCAGTCCAACACCACCTTGCCTCGAACAGGTTTCGCCCTGCTGCTTGTCACGACCCTCGTCGTAAACCGCGGTGTCCGGCCCGCCCGCCCCGCGGTTTCCGGCCCAAGCGGCACCTTCAGGAGTTGCTCCGCGTCTTCGCCGCCGCGGCGCATCAAGGCTTTGAGCTGGCGCAAAGGGAAGATGTTGGGCCACGGGGTCCAATTGATGCTTGGACTATGTTGGACTTTTGGGTCAGGGTTAGAACTTTTGTGATGATTGAGGGGGTAATGATGAACCTTTGGGTCATCTGACAGTCGGCGATTGAGCCCTTGAGTGATGATCGGGCCCTGGGCAACGATTGGACGATTCTTGCTTGAAGCCTTTGGTTCCGCAGTGGTTGAACAAACGGGTATTGCTTGGACCTGGAGGATGAATTAATCGGCTGGTGATTGAACCCTTGGTGGACTGGAGCTTTAGGCGATGAGGGGTGGATAGTTGTGCCTCTGGGGGGGGGGAAGCGGGGCGACTGGACCCTTGTGTTGGAGGGTAACGATTGGATCTCCGGGTAGAGGTGGGCAGTCGATGATTGGTATGGATAATGAAGGCAAGATTGCCAAATGAATTTGATTGAAACCTTTGATCATGATACACATTTTGGGGTGATGATTGCACATGTGGTTGAATGCACCCTTTCCAGTTCTAATCTATGCCTATGCGAATCCAGTTGTGCCGGGCAGAGGCTCATTCCCATTCCCTACGCGCAGCCAGGCATGTCCAAAAATTGGGGGCAGCTTTTGGATGGCGAAGTCCGGCCATCTCCCATTTGCTCGAGTATATGGGACGACTAAATGCACTATTGCCCTCAGTTGCTCCTTTAAGCTCGCACCCAAAGCCCAGCAAGTCAAACTGTTCTCCACCAAGGAATCTCAAGTGCTGGTCAATGTCAGAAGCAATTTCGACAAAATGCACATGTGACCTTCTTTTAGGTTTCTGCGAACATCTGCACAAATAACTACGTATAGCTCACAAACTGGAACTAAGACCCCCCAAGATAGAACCTTCATCTTCTTTGAGCTCGTTTTGCTTGGGCAGAAGCATATTGCAGGGCTTTGAGGTGCTGGAAAGCCAAAATCACCATATATGCTGGTGCATTACAAGCAATGCAGTCATGGGTGGAATGTGTTAATTTACCCACCGTGGGATCGGTCGCTAGGAAAATTGTCCAGGACCTGCCAGTCAAGTTCCATGGCAATGTGGATAGGATGTTATCTCAGTCAGTAGGCAGCCCTTATCGCTGCTTCCACCCCCATACAGCCCAGACTTGTGACCCCAGATATGCTCCTAATCTTCTCAACATGGAACCCCCAACAAAAACCACATTTTCGACTCGAATAATCACCCGTAAGAGGCCTTTTCAATGAACCCCTACAACAGCGTCGAATCATCCAGATTCCAGTGCTGTTCAAAACATACCAGAGGCTCCTTCGCTTATCCTCTCCAGGGGGGTGTTTCTCAAAATCAGAGACCCCTTTCGAGTCTCTGACTTTGCTGTTCTCTTGGCTTCCTATTTTCACTGTTGATTTCTGCTCCCCTGCTACAAGTTTCACTTTTCGTGGTTTAGTGGGAAACCCACTAGTTGGCAAAAAGGTAAAGTCCTAACGTCCAAGCAAAATGCCACCAAGTGTTTTAATCTTTTGCCCATCCACTTCTGGGACCCTTGGAGAAAAACTTCTTGGGCGTGCGGCATCACTGGTGCCCTTGGCGGCGTAGGCGAAGAACTCCTCCAAACTCTCCAGGAGAGGAATTTGGGTTCTTGGAAGGGACTTTTTTTTGGGCGGGGGAAGGGGACAATCTATGGTGTCTGAAAAGGTGAACAGGTGGCTCTTCAGTCTGACAAGCTGGCTGACCCAGATGACTCTTTCGCATCGGATCCCTTTTCATGCCCTGGCAGATCTTATCCTTTTGACAGCTATGATACCTCCGCACAAGCTTCGGTGCCACGCTTGGCATCAAACTCAGGCACCTTCTTTGAAGAACTTGCCCGTGGAGGATCTAACTCCATCAGCACAAGATAAAGCTGTTGCTCCTGCCTTTCACCCCCGCAATCCAGGCGGAAGAAATCACATGCACATCTCTGCCTTCTTCCCTGCACCACTCAACCGGATGTACAAAAGCGGAGAAAGCGCAAGGCTATTTTAGCAAGGCTCCTGCTTGTCCAGCAAGCCGCTCTTGTCAGGGTCGAACCTTGGCGTCAGAAGTCTTGAGAAGGGGAAGGGTCACGTTCCTCTCCTGAAACAGACCAAACAGCACCATGGTATAAAGAGGAACATGAGAAAACGGGCGCCGTCTCTTCTTTTTTTGAATGGGTGCGGATTTATTTTGGGATTTTTTGGGAATTGTTTTCGGTTTTGTAAAATGTAGTATTTTACAGCATTTTCTCGCAAAGTTGACGCATTTTACACTAGCCCGTCAACATCCCCAGCATCGTTTTCAACAACATCCCTAGCATCACCAACAAATCGTGGGTAACAGAATCGAATCCAAAAAGTGGCTGGCGGGTTGACGGGGTCAAAAAAAATGATTCAAATAGGAGGGCATTTTAATCCCTTTAAAAAAAAGTAATACACAAAAAGTAGCGAGGGGGTTGGGGGGGCGGCAGCCTCCCCCATGATGTTCGAAGAATTGATGATTCGACTAGGGGTGCAACTAAATCTCTGTAGAAAATCTAAAACGTAGCGTCGGGGTTGGGGGGGGCAGCCCCCCCATTATGTCGGAAGAAGTGATGATTCAAGTAGAGGCGCAATGATTCAAGAAAGGGCGCGATAGAATGTAAAAGGCAGCGGGAGGGTTGGCGGGGGTGGCTTCCCCTATGATGTTCGAAGAAGTGCATACATGCAGACATACATGGATTACACAGATTACATAAAATGTTGTATTTTGCAGCATTTTCTCGCGAAATTGGACGCTCGAAAAAGTGATGATTCAAAGGGGTGCAATTCAATCTCTGCAAGAAATCTAAAAAGTAGCGGGGGGGCAGGCGGCAGCCCCCCCCATGATGTTTGAAGAAGTGTTGATTCAAATAGGGAGGAACTGGTGATGCTGATGATGCGGGAAGCCAAATCCAAAACCAATGAAAGGGTGCAGAAGCCAAGAAGCCCGGCGAGGAACTGGGAAAGCAGAGCGAAAAGAGGCCAAGAAGCCAAAAAGCCAAGAATCCAAGAAGCAAAAAGCGAAAAACATCCCCCCCAAAAAAAGGAACACCTCCTAAAATAAATACCCCTCCTTTTTAAATAGTCCCCCATGCCCCTCCCGAACTGACCACAGAGTGCTGGGTATGTTGACAAACCTCATATACCAGTACCTGTAAACAGTTTTTTTTTTTCCCGGGTGTGACCGCATTTCTTCCAGCTAATTGACTTTCCAGTGCTTGAGGTGTACATGAAGGGTATGATCGTTGTCTACACGTCTGGTCAATGTTCGGATCTTCTTGAACCTCCATTCAACAGTGGGTCAACACGAAAACAGGGTCTTCAAAGTGGCCCGGTACAACAAAGACGCCATTTGACAACCCATCTGCAACTTGAATGACTCAGGGAGTCACTTGTAATAAATCGCCAACCTCAAATAAGGGACCGTCAAGTCGCAACCCCCTGGCGAGCTTGCCGCAACCTTCTGGGAGCTTGCGAGACAATTTACAAGTCATCTGCATGGATTGCGAGGAACTGAAGATCTGATTTTAGCCAATGCGAAGCGCCATTCTGTGGAGGAGCATACGATTCACGGATGTCCAAAGCCCAGGCTTTCTTTGTGGATCAAGAGAACTCCGCCTGTCTGAGAATTCTTTGGGACGATGCGAGTGTTGAACAGCAGCTGCACGTGGGCGAACGTGCCAAAACGTCAAACCAAGATCGTGCCTCGCGCTATCCCATAGACCTCCAGAAAGCCAGCCCAACCGGAACACAGAATGCCGTGAATTGGTTGGAGCGGACTGGGCGAGCCTCTTGAAGAGGTTCTCCGCTGCTGAGCCCTCGATGCCCACGGTGGCCATGGCCTTCGCGAAAGGAACCCGGAAAAACGAATGGCCCTTCTGAATTCTTTCCAGATGTCAAGTTGCAGGCATCAACAGGAAAAAACAGCTGCATGGAATAGCCACACAGTGTCATTTTATGTGATCTCTGGCCGATTGCTATCTGGCTGCCTGTGCCACAGGAACAACAAATCGCAACAGGCCGTCAACGATGCTTTGCCAGATCCTTGGGCAATTTGATATCTGACAACATAAAACCCGTTGCAACTGGTTGCTGGAAATAAAGCAACCAAAGTCTGTTGGTGCAACTGATTTCACCTGCACATGTCCAGCTTAGACGCGCAGCACCAAAAACCATTTGTCAGTTTTCTGTCCTCACTGAAAAAGGATCTGAATTGGATATTGGAAGCAGTGGTTGGTTTACCTTTGCTTCTCCTCAGATACCTGGGGGTCGGCCTGCTCGTCGACCACCACTACTTTCGTACTTTGGGGGTTTTGTTCGGAGGTTACCCTTTCGGGTCTGTTTTAGCGAGAAACCAAATGGAAACCGCCCATGAGGTCCCCCATTTGAAGAAGCCACCAAAGCAGCGGCTCGTTCAGCGAAAGGCCGCCTTTATAAACTCTTCCCTGGAGATGTTGCTGTCGTCATCCAGGTTCATGATGCCAAATCTTGGCGCGCATGGCAATTGGAGTGACAGCTTCGTGCGGACAAGCATATGTTCGTTTAGCAAGAAGTTTAAGACACCCTCTGAAAGTCATTTCCTCCACGAGGCCGTGCGCAGCCCAAAGCGCTGCGGCATCCAAGGCGTTGTTTGGACAACTTGCTTGAAACCCATCTTGTCAAGTTCTATATATATATATATATATTAGATATGTCCCTTCAAACATCGCCGCTGAAAACTCAATAACATATTATGGAGGATGTTGCAGGGCTCTCCTGGCCAAGGCACAGGAACTACACAAATAGCCTCAGACCTTCGGAAGGAGGGGAGACGTATTAAGATGAGCTGGACCCCGTTCAACCGTTGTCAAGGGTGTCCAGCCATGCACAGCCAGGCCAGACAGGGGTCACTGAATTCCCGCTCCAAATTTGCAGCTTACTGTTTCCAACACAGGTTTAAAGTGGAAAGCAAGCGACTTCTGGTCCTACTCTTGGTCCTGGAAAACTCCCGACCCGACCCCAGGCTGATGGTGCCGGCGCTTCTTGCATCCGCTCGATGGGGCTCGGCTTGTTGGTGCGCTTTTTCTTTTTCTCCTTCGCCTGTCGCAAAATGAGGCGAGCGTCTCAAGGGCCTTGTCCAAACATGGCGCATAGCAGCCGTCTATTAAAGCGCTCAAATTCTACATCCCGTGGGACAAACGATACCTTCGCTTGAAATATCGGCTCAAAAGGTCAGGCTTTCGTGGCAGCGCCTCATGGCTTTTTCATAGCCGAGGCGCCAAGGTGCTCTCTCAGAGTCTTACCTTCGTCACTGTCCGCATCGTTGATCGCGCCCTTCACCTTCTTCAGCGTCAGCTCCTTCTCACTGGCGCGCAGCGGGAGCCACAGCAAACGCGCCTGCGCGTGGCGTGCGCGGCCCACCCCGAGCCTCCCACGCCTCCCATCACTGTCCGACCACAATCTCCGGCGCCGCCAAGTCCTGCTCGTGCAACTTCAGCCAATCAGTCACGCTTGCCCTTACTTCGCCAAACGCCGCGCCACATCTTGACTCAGGTAGGACCACGATCGTCTCCTTGACCACCTGTTTCTTCTCGCACAGTCCACGCCCTTGATCTTCTCCTTCTCGCCTGGCATGAACAGGCTCAGAAACATCATCACGCACTCAAGCAGCTGCGCAAGGCTTGAATCCTTTCAGCTGTTCCCGTCACCTTGTTCTTCCACACCGGTTTTTCTGCCCCGCATAGATGTCTTGCAAGGGCCCCGTCAGCTTCTCCTCTCTCTTCCTCAAGATCGATCCTTGACAGCAATCATCGGTGTCCTGACCTGCTGGCATGGTTCACCCTCGGTGCCAGTTCATCTGCTCCGAAACCTTGGCGCCCAGAGAGCTTCCAGGCACTTTTCTGCACCTTCTTGTTGACCGTCAGCAGCACCGCTCGCGTCCTCACTTCCTTGACCGCCTCTTCTGCGACGGCGCTTCGCTCCTCTTGCCGGGTGCGCCAAGTTCTCCAAAAACCGGGCGACCAACAACTGCTACCTGCAGAGGGTCAGCGAGACGGAGGACATGGAAGAAGAGGCGTCGGGTTTGGTTTTGGAGGGCAGCTCTCCGAAGTTTCTGGCAGGAGGCAGGAGTGGCGACGAGCGTGGTGGTTGCGCGCTGGCAAGAGCCGCCTTGGAGGCAAGCTGGAGGAGGAAGAACGCAGTGTACCAGAGTTGGTGCAAGGAGCGCATGCATCAATACTACATAGGCAGTTAGTTCGCCTGTGGTTCGCAAGACCAGGGAAGCCCTTGTCATCATTGCCCTGCCGGTTTTTGTGGAACCTCTTGGCGACTGCCGTGATGGACGAGCGCGTGTCGAACTTGCACTTCAGCCACTTTCGCTGACAGTTAACGTGCGCAGCTCCAGGGCATGGCCTCGCCTTTTGGTCCCCCCTTGCCCTTGCCTTTTGTTCTTTTGGCGTCGAAGCTCCTCCGCCGGCTGCCCGACATTCTCACTTTCAGTGTCCGGGCCCTCAACCATTTTCAGGGACCCGTTGCCGGATCCTGGTGGGAACGTCGGCCTGCCACCTTTTCCGGACTTACCGCCTTTGCCTCCTTTCCCGCGGCCCTTGACCATCCACATCGTTGCTGCTCATGAACGTCACCACCTCCATGTCCCGGCAGATGGAGAAGTTGAGCAGCAAATGTATCTCCAGCTGCTTTGGCACCAGCTTCTCCAGCGCGTTCAAGAAATCTGGGAGTGATTAATCACTGCCACAACTGGCCCTTCTCTTGTCATAGCAACTCCTGCGCGACTTTCCCCTCTCGAACGTGTCGTAGGACGTCTGATGCGCTTCCTTCCCCTGCGCTCGGAGCAAACTTCTTGTGGAGCAACCTCCAGGCTTCCAGTCCTCCACCCATTGGCGCGTTGCCCGCAATGTCACACGTTGTTGTCGAACTCGTGCACCCATTGGTCGATGAGGCCCGCCGAGACCCCGAAGATGCTGTCCAGCTCTGCCCTGGTCACACCGGCTGCCCCTTCGAAGACGCCCAACACGGAGTCCTCGAGCTTCACCGCCCATGAGACCCTGAACTTCACCTCCGCATCGCTACACCGCCCCTTCGGCAACTTCGATCACATCCGTGGACCCAATGCTGCTCCAGGGGTCTGTTCAGCGGCCTCAGTCCACCACCTGCTCGCCATCGACTTCTTCGAAGATCAGCCCGGTCACCACGTAGTGCATGTCCAGCAAATTAGCCCAGCACCACCGGGACCAACAAGGTTGTTTTCAGCAGATCCCGGACCTTTCCGCGGAATCACCCACGGTGTCCTCCACCTGGTCGTGCGGTAGAGCTCCGCTACTATCCAGACATGGCAGATGATAGCAGCGATCTATTTTCCAGCCCAGATTGGCTCCGTAGAGCACTCAAGTTCTGCACCTTGGGGAAACCCATCTTTCGCGAACCCACAAAACAGAAGGGGGAAGCGTGCCGTGAACAACTGGGACAGGGAAGGACGCCTTGTGTCCACCAAAGCAAACCAGTCCGAAATCACTGCCGTGGGTTGAACACACAAGGAAACCAGCAAAATGGCCTATCGAAGGCTCCCCCCCCACACACCGGAACAATCCGAGCCAGGATCCGACACCCCCTTGCTAGAGAAGATAGCCAGCAAACACAACGGATGGCTGAGATATGTTGAGATCCTCTTGAGGCTTCTGCTGGACCATTCCCCATGCACCCTGGGTGTGTTGAATGTAGCAGCCAGTCGCTGTCCTGCGGCATGACGAAGCCGTCCAAGCGGCTCTCTTGACTTCTTTGTGAAGTCAAGTTATGCGGCTTGATTCCACGAAAGCGCTGTGTCACAACCGTCGCCTGTGCTTGCTCGTCTTTGCTCGTGTTTCTTGGCACTCTGCAATCTGTGGTACGCATGTCCATGGCCTTCATCGACGAACCTTTGAGCCAAGGGGTGGCTGAATGGGAAAAAGGCGAAGATGGCTTTCCGAGGACCTGGAGGTGTGCCCAGCGAGGAAGCCAAAGTCTTATTCGCCGAGTCTTGAGAACCCCGCGGTTTACACATACCTGAGTCTTGGGCAACCCCAAGCAAATTATGCGATCTCACACCTCCACTTCCATTTTTTTTCTCGGTCTCTCGAAACAAAATTCCGCCCGCGAGAGTAGGACCTGCTTCATATCGACTGGGAATCTCGGGGGTCAAGCCTGTCTCTTGTGGGTCACAGTCACAATCCCCCATAGAACACCCTGTACAATCGTTTGAATTGGTTGCACCCATGACCATCAGTTTCAAGGGTTCATCAATCCAAATTGCGCTGTAAATCGGCAAGCTCGTCTGTTTCCTCGCACCGCGCAGGCTGATGGAGACTATTGGCTGTTTTGTAAATGTCAAATCTCTGCCACGCGAATTTTGCATGGCGCTGAGTCAATCTGACTCCAGCGCTCTCCAAGCGCAATACCACGCTGACTCCAGCAATAAGTGACTCACTGATGACTTGAGGCAAAATCGGATTTACTGCATCCCATCCTTTAATCTCTGTTCATCTCTGTTCCCGGGCACCGAGGCCGCAAACCCTCCATCCTACCAACATGGAAGTGCACAGCACCCCTTTCCAAAATCAATCTGGTTATTTGTTGGCGGGAGGGTATATCTTGGAATCTGGAATCTGTGCGAGAAAAAAACGTGTACCATTTGTACAGGCCAACTGCTATGCAGTGGCGGCGGAAACCGGTGAAACACTCCACACGCAACTTCAAACCAAATCACTGGCAAAGGATCAGCCCCCTTCTGCAAACTTACTCGTCAAATCATGATCTGGGAGAAGAAGGGCAAGCTCAATATTCTTTGGGCCCAATAGCATTTACATGCATTTACCTTGGATGTTGCTGGGTAATCCTCATGATCCATCATGCTTTAGTGGCAATTGAGAAGTGGCTCATTTGCAACTCGCACTTTCCAGGTTGTCCTCATTTCAAATTCGGCCTGGAAAGGCTTGGAAAGGCTTGCATCAACATGCCCCGGCGGTTGCTTAAAGCTGCTCTGGCCAGCTCTCGCATTGCAGCACTGTGGACGCGGGCCCCTGCGCCTGCGGTGCCAAGTTGACGGCAGGCCGCGGCTTTTTGGCCAGGTTCGCGCATGCTCGGAGTCGGAGCCCCGTTGGTTCATCTTCATGACGTTGCAACAGTCTTACTCAGCTACACGCCAAGCTGAAACATACATCTTGAAACTGCACAACTCACTATTCAAGACACGGCACACCACTAGTAGTATTTATTGCAACTCCAATAGTCATGCTTTCGGTCAGGCGATTGATCGGGTTCTCGCTTTCTCGTGCACACACCCACACACTCGTTCAGAACAGTACACAACTCCACACAATCACACCTGCACGACTTGTCGATGCCTTTGTGCGGTCGGCTTGCACAAATGCCTTGATTTGAGCATATCAAAGACATTCCCAGGCTGCCTTTCAGCGCGTGGGAGGGCCCAAAAGCGAGTTTGGCAATCATTGACAACCGACTGCAGATTCATACTCCACGCGTGCGTTTTTGAATCTCATTACAAAGACTGGCGGGTTTCGCCAAACATGTTGTTTTGTTGAATCTCACTAGCAGGACTGCCTGAGCTTAAGCGAAGAGGCAAACAAAAGAGAGTGCCTCAAGAGGAGATTCCTCTTGAAAGGCGGTGTCGAGGGTTCTGAATGCGAGGCTACCTGCGGCCAGCTCCTTGGAAAGCCATCGGTTGGCCGGATTCTTTATGTCCACGTCAGACGCTGCGTACCAAACAGTGACTCTGTTCAGACTGGCTTTCAACAGGAATTCACTTTACCACGGGAAGACAAGTAGCCCTGCTCAGCCGCCACAAGTGGCCTACGTCCCACCACCCAGTCAAGAAGAGCCAAATCAGTGAAACTATTTGCCTCTCAGCGTTGTGCCTTTTAGAACTCCTATAGCAACCTCCGTGTCCGTCCCACAGCCCGCGCCTGGGTCTCAGCCCTGGTCTGAAGACCAGGCAGGAGTGCATTGACGTGAGTTATGTGTCCGGGAGTGTCGTCGACCATCTCCTCACATTGCTGACAGCTGCAAAGGCAAGGTGCATGGAGGTACTTCTATTGTACATTATGTTTGTACATACACATGCATACATACACACACACAAACTCCGGTGACATACATCAACATTTGACAAGACTCTTCGGGCGAAGGCGATTACGTGGCTGGAGCGATGCGAAGCGCTGCGACAAGTATTTAGATGAGATATTGCCACCGCCTAAGGCCGATAAGTGGGTGGGCTTCGAAGGGTATGTCTGTCTGTACGGCGTTGACTTGTTTTGCGACTTTTCTTGTGTACTGGTTGGTTTGCAGCCACATCTGCCGCCAGACTCACAGACTACACGATTGAGGTCTTTGTGGCAAGTGGTTGACAAAGGGACTTGCAAAGTTCATCCCGGAGCAAAACGCTGCTTTGGCCAAAGATCAATCGAACACCAGTTTGTGGCTCATGTTCGAAAACATGCACGGGAATCGGGTAGGTTTGTTTCGCTTGGCTTAGGATGGTTTAGGGCTGGTTTACGGCTTAGGGTTTAGTTTAGGGTTAGATTTTGGTTTGGGTTGGTTTAGGTTTAACTTTCCCCGCGTTCAAAAACGAGCACAAGACACGTTCAAAAACAAAGTGCATCAAGGTGCTTCCTCTTCTTTTGACACCTATTACTGTATATTTCGATCGGACACCGCATGGGTCAAACTTGACCAACTGTGTCTTGCCGCCTAGGTGCCTCACACTGGTTTTACTGCCTTCAGACGTACAGCCGTTACCCTTTGGGAGAACACGTATGGTGTGCCTAAAGCATGCCGCACTCAATGTTGGGGTTGATATTGTGGCAGATATAGCTTTGGCTCGAGCCCAAAGCTGGGTCGAGCCCAAACGTTGCTCTTTAGGGCAAGCCTCACCATGCGTGAGAAATACCGTTTGCTGCTTTAAGGGCGCCGCTAGTCACCACTTGCTTGCCCAGAAATCACAAGGGAGTAGTAGACTCTCTCGCTGCATCAGTTCTGGCTTGAGAAGCAAGGGGATTCGGTAGAAATTCACTGGTTGGTTTTGGGTTGGGGCTGTAGAGGCCGTCATGGATTCTCGCTCAGGCCGGCAAAATGAATTGATTGGGTGCGGGTAGCTTGAAGTAAAGTGATATGTTCTTAGCTGCCATAATTCTAAGTGAGACGCGAAATGCTAAGCGCAAACGGCGTCTTTTTGGACCATTGGCCGTGAAAGTTTATATCAGGGCATTGTCAGTGGCCAGCACATCTAGATTTGTTTTTGACACGCCCTGGTAGGGATGGCCTACTGCAAAGACAAAATCCAGCACCTCGAGAAACCGCCAAGTTGAGCGATTCACAGCCAAGTTCCAGCCTCCGTCGACTCTTTGGCTGTTGCCACCTCCAGGGATGTCCAAGGCAGAAGGCACAGGTTCAAAGGATGGGCCTAACGCTGGATGGGCAATGATTCAAGCAACGCTAGAGAACTGTCCAGTCAAACAACTTGAGGTGGGGTGAACGAAAGCTAGCAGCTGCTTGCATGAGAGGCTTCAAGCGCCGAACTCAATTCTGGGGTCGACCCAAATTTGGCTCGAGCCCAAAGCTGGGTCGAGAGCCCAAACGTTGCACTTTGGGGCAAGCCTGACCATCCGTGAGAGATACCGTTTGCTGATGTTTTGGTGCGCCGCTAGTCACCACTTGCTTGCCCAGAAATAACTAGGGAGTAGTAGACTCTCTCGCTGCATCAGTTCTGGCTTGAGAAGCAAGGGGATTCGGTAGAAATTCTCTGATTGGTTGGGTTGGGGCTGTAGAGGCCGTCATGGATCCTCGCTCAGGCTGGCAAAATGAATTGATTGGGTGGGGGTAGCTTGAAGTAAAGTGTCATGTTTGTAGCTGCCATTATTCTACGAAATGCTCAGCGCAAACGGCGTGCTTTGGACCATTGGCTGCGAAAGTTGAGAGCAGGGCATTGTCAGTGGCCAGCAAATCTAGATCTGTCCGGTTTTTGACAAGAACTGGTAGAGATGGCCTACTTCAAAGACAAAATCCAGCACCTTCACGAGAAACCACCAAGTTGAATCGAGCAATTCACAGCCAAGTTCCAGCCTCCGTCGACTCTTTGGCTGTTGCCACCTCCAGGGATGTCAAAGGCAGAAGGCACAGGTTCAAAGGATGGGCCAAACGCTTGATGGGCAGTGATTCAAGCAACAACTTGAGGTGGGGTGAACGAAAGCTAGCAGCTGCTTGCATGAGAGGCTTGAAGCATGCCGAACTCAATTCTGGGGTCGACCAAAATTTGGCTCGAGCCCAAAGCTGGGTTGAGCCCAAACGTTGCTCTTTAGGGCAAGCCTCACCATCCGTGAGAGATACCGTTTGCTGCCTTAGGTGCGCCGCTAGTCACCACTTGCTTGCCCAGAGTGACTACCTAACTAGGGAGTCTCTCGCTAGCGCCCAGGGATTCGGTCGAAACTTAATGGTTGGTTTTTGGGTTGGGGCTGTAGAGGTCGTCATGGATCCTCGCTCAGGCTGGCAAAATGAATTGATTGGGTGGGGGTAGCTTGAAGTAAAGTGATATGTTCGTAGCTGCCACTATTCTAAGTGAGACGCGAAATGCTAAGCGCAAACGACGTGCTTTGGACCATTGGCTGCGAAAGTTGAGAGCGGGGCATTGTCAATAGCCAGCACATCTAGATTTGTTTTTGACACGCCCTGGTAGGGATGGCCTACTGCAAAGACAAAATCCAGCACCTCGAGAAACCGCCAAGTTGAGCGATTCACAGCCAAGTTCCAGCCTCCGTCGACTCTTTGGCTGTTGCCACCTCCAGGGATGTCCAAGGCAGAAGGCACAGGTTCAAAGGATGGGCCTAACGCTGGATGGGCAATGATTCAAGCAACGCTAGAGAACTGTCCAGTCAAACAACTTGAGGTGGGGTGAACGAAAGCTAGCAGCTGCTTGCATGAGAGGCTTGAAGCATGCCGAACTCAATTCTGGGGTCGACCCAAATTTGGCTAGAGCCCAAAGCTGGGTTGAGCCCAAACGTTGCACTTTAGGGCAAGCCTGACCATCCGTGAGAGATACCGTTTGCTGATGTTTTGGTGCGCCGCTAGTCACCACTTGCTTGCCCAGAAATAACTAGGGAGTAGTAGACTCTCTCGCTGCATCAGTTCTGGCTTGAGAAGCAAGGGGATTCGGTAGAAATTCTCTGGTGGGTGTTGGGTTGGGGCTGTAGAGGCCGTCATGGATCCTCGCTCAGGCTGGCAAAATGAATTGATTGGGTTGGGGTAGCTTGAAGTAAAGTGTCATGTTCGTAGCTGCCATTATTCTACGAAATGCTCAGCGCAAACGACGTGCTTTGGACCATTGGCTGCGAAAGTTGAGAGCGGGGCATTGTCAGTGGCAAGCAAATCTAGATCTGTCCGGTTTTTGACACGCCCTGGTAGAGATGGCCTACTGCAAAGACAAAATCCAGCACCTTCACGAGAAACCACCAAGTTGAATCGAGCAATTCACAGCCAAGTTCCAGCCTCCGTCGACTCTTTGGCTGTTGCCACCTCCAAGGATGTCAAAGGCAGAAGGCACAGGTTCAAATTATTAGCCTAACGCTGAATGGGCAATGATTCAAGCAACGCTAGAGAACTGTCCAGTCAAGCAACAACTTGAGGTGGGGTGAACGAAAGCTAGCAGCTGCTTGCATGAGGGGCTTGGAAAAAGACTGGCGCAGGAGTGATTTGACCTCCTAGAGCGGGGTGGCCCAGGGGAGATTCGAGCCCCTGGCGGTGTGTGTGTGTGTGTAAATGATTGTTTCTTGCAATCTGTTTGACCCAAGCAATTGATAAAATCAATCTTTCGGCATTTCAGCCCCCTTACCTTGCTTCGGATTCGGCAAGGAGAACCTCCAAACCTCCAGCTAGTGACATGCTGAAACTGCTGTCAACAGCTGTGGAGAGCACAACGGGTCGACGCAGTTTGATACGGCCGGGTCGAGAACTCAGGACTTCAACCAATTCAACTCATGTAGGAAACCTCTCCGCCAACATGGGGAAGCTCGTAGCACCCCAAAAGCTAGGGGACTTTATCCCGACACTGCTTGCTCACCAAGCTTTTTGCAGCCACTTCAATTTTTGCT